TATCTACCCTCTGTCTATGCAGCTCCAGCCAGGTGGGGAGCTCAGCCTCGTCGCCAAACACTGTGCGCCAGTCGTCGCTCAGACGGGCGAAGCAGCGGGACTGTGTGTGACCAAGCGTCCCACAAGGCTGACCAGTCCTAGCACCTGTGCGAATGACGTACGGGCAGCGGACTGTACGCGTAGACCTGCTACACTGAGCGTACCACTCCTGGAGCTGCCGGGGCGTAAGTGTCTCACGTGGACGTCCCTGCAGCTGCAGCTGGCCACTGCCAGACGCTCCCAACTGACCAGCTCCAGGGCGACAGCTACGACGGCTACCGCGACAACCCCAGCTAGTATACCACTCACTAAGCTGCTGAGGCGTCAGAGGCTCGCGTGAATGTCGCTGGAGCTGCATCTGGCCACCTGCCAGTAGCAGTAGCGCAGGCAAGGCAGGCGCGGCAGGCAGGCAAGCAAGCAGGCAGGCAGGCAGGCAGGCAGGCAGGCAGGTAGGCAGGCAGCCAGGCAGGCAGGCAGGCAGGCAGACAGGCAGGCAGGTAGGCAGGCAGGCAGGCAGGCAAGTAGACACGCAGGCAGACAGGCAGGCAGGCAGGCAGGCCGGCAGGCAGGCAGGCAGCCAGGCCGGCAGGCAGGCAGGCAGACAGGCAGGCCGTCAGGCAGGCAGGCAGGCGCTCACCAAAGGCTGGGAGAGCAGGGCCGGCGCTCGAGTAGGCGCACGACAGCGGCGACGTCGGGGCCGCAAAACCGGCTGCAGAGCAGGGCCGAAACAGCTGGAGGGCGGGGCCGCGTCAGCGGCAGTAGCAGGGTGGGGCCGCGTCAGCGGCAGGTCGGGGTCGTGGCAGCTGCAGGGCGGGGCCGCATCAGCGGCAGGTCGGGGCCATGGCAGCTGCTGGGCGGGGCCGCATCAGCGGCAGGTCGGGGCCGAGGCAAAGGGCCGCGCGCGGCCGCGCTAGGGAGTAGCGGGCCGCGCGCGGCTCGGCGCGGGCTGTTGCGGGCCGCGCGCGGGCCGTGCGAGGCAGGAGCAGGCCTCGCGCGGCTCGGCACGAGCTGCTGCGGGCCGCGCGCGGGCTGCGCGGGCTCGGCGCGGGCTGCGCGCGGCAGCTGCGAGCTGCGCGCGGCTCGGTGCGGGCTGCGCGCGGTTGCAGCGGGCTGTGCGCGGCTCGGTGCAGGCTGCGCGCGGCTGCAGCGGGCTGCGCGCGGCTCGGTGCGGGCTGCGCGTGGCTGCAGCGGGCTGCGCGATCTCGGTGCGGGCAGCGCGCGGTAGCAGCGTGTGTGCGGGCCCGACAGGCGTGTAGAGGCGGCGCGCGGGCCTTACGGGCCTCTAGGGGCAGCGCGCAGGCAAGGCAAGGCAAGGCAAGGCATACAAGGCAAGGCAAGGCTACGTGGGGTAGCGCGGTAACCGCAGCGGTAGGTGGGCCCGAAAAAAAACGGTCCTACGGACCTTAGTGCTCTGAAACCATGTTAGAATCTAGCAGCAGGAATGGGTGAACTAACAGGATGCAGGAGTACAAGTAGTAAACCCTAACTAGGTTGTACCCCATATGGGCTACCCCACTACAGCCTAGACAATATGCAGCACATATAGTTTGACAGTGGTGGCGGTGTGGAATGGAGCCACGGAGTGCCACAGAGAGCCACGGAGTGCCACAGAGAGAAAGCACAAGATAAGGGCCTGCATGGTAAAGCTTGTTTCCTCGAGTGCGTGAACAGTAAAGAGATCATACCTGCACGGTGAAGTTGACTCCAGCGCCACTGATGCGATCAGTGCTTGCCTCGGACACGCCACAGAAAGGCAGAGTCTTCCCGTTCACCGTTCGACGAATGGTCAGCTGACACGTGGCGGAGTCAACAGTCACTGTTTCGTTTATGATGTGTGGCAGTAGAAAATGGACAAGCGCCCTGGTGGGGACGAGGAGGGGAGGAGGAGAAGGGGAAGGGGGAAGGGACGTTTGAGTGGACCCAAAAGTCACCTGTTGTGATGCGCGGCAGTAGCAAGACGGCGAGCAGCCTGGTGGGACAAGGAGGGGAGGAGGAGAAGGAAAAGGGGGAGGGGGGCGTGTGATGATCAGCTGAGAGTATGACAGTCACTGTCTCAACCATGATGTGACGCAGTGACAAGTGGTCGAGCAGGCGGGCGGGGAGGAAGCGGAAGGGGAAGGGGAAGTAGGGGAGGTGGGGGAAGGTGGCAGTAGTTACAAGGTCGCGAGTCGTGAAGGGGAAGGGGAAGGGGAAGGGGAAGGGGAAGGGGAAGGGGAAGTAGAGGAGGTAGGGGAAGGTGGCAGTAGTTACACCAGGACAGGAACAACTTGGTCCATGATGTGCCAAAGATAGCACGCGAACCCACAAGAAGGCTGGAAAGCCTGTATGAGACAGACATGGCTTGAAATGACTAGAACCCACCCACCCGATGCTCACAACCCAGAGGGGAATGGTGTAGTAAAGGGCGAGGGGGGGGACTCCGTAGATCACTACTGCTGTGGTTGACAAGACGGCGACAACCGCTAGCAAGAGCTGCGATGGCAGGGATGGTGTGTGGTGGAAAGGGGAGATTGGAAGGGAGAGAATCGGATCGGACTGATTGATTTGAAGGCAGGAAGGGAGGGATTGGGCCAGCATGCTTGTTGCTGCTGTGGTTGACAAGAAGGCGACAACCGCTAGCAAGAGCTGCGATGGCAAGGATGGTGTGTGGTGGAAAGGGGAGATTTGGAAGAGAGGGCGGTGGGAAAGAGAGGGATTGAGGCAACATGTTTGGTGGTGCTGCTGTGGATGAAAAATAGGGGACACCTACCATCCAGAACTGTGACGGCAGGGATGGTGTGCGGTGGGAAGATTGGGTGGGAGAGACTCGGACTGATTGTTTTGAAGGCAGGAAGGGAGGGATTGGGCCAGCATGCTTGCTGCTGCTGTGGATGTCCAAACAAACGCCATCCATAACTGCGATGGCAGGGATGGTGTGTGTGTGGGTGAGAAATAAGGTAAGAGCGTACAACGGAACAAGATGGTGGCTCTAGCGTAAAGGGGTTGCCTAACACGAGCCTAATTTGAGACGTCTCAGAATAACTCCTTAATCAACAGCGTAGCGTACAAAGCAACAAGATGGCAGTTCAAGGGCAGAGAAGGAGTTGCCTGACACGAGCTCACCAGGACGAAGACGATTGCGGCAAGGGCACCAAGGGAAAGACGCAGGGGAGGGATGGTGAAGCGGAGGAGCGTGGGCGAGCGGGAGACGAGTACTCGCGTGCCCACGGGCTGGACAAGGCCAGGAAACACGGTCAGTGGCGTTCCCACTGCCACCCCTCCTGCTGCTTCCCCTGCCGCCCCCCCTGCTGCTGTTGCTTTTGCTGCTTCAGTAGGGCCAGCGACAGCATTAGCAATGCCAACGGCTACATCAGCAGGAGAAGCAGGAGGAGGATTCGGCGGAGTGGGACGGTGAGGAGGATTGAAGGAGGAGTAGGAGGCGGTGGGGGTGGCGAGCAGAGGAGCGTGATCCGAGCTTTGGCCTTGGCCGCTCATTGTCTGCTCCTTGTTGAAATGCTAACCGATGGAGAGAGCAGGAGAGGGTTGGAGAACAGTAGGGAGTCTTTTTTATAGGCGCCTCAAAAACATTGGATGCTCCTTGTTGAAACCCTAGCCGATGAATGACGAGAGTAGGAGAGGTCAGAGAACAGTAGGGAGAAGACTTGGGAGCGGAGCGAAGGGAAAGGAAGGGAACAAGGTTTGGAAGACAATCAAGCCAATCAAGCCAACCTTCATGTCTGTCTTCCAACGGAAGCAAGATTCAGTCAGCAAATTGGGTGGATGATCGAGAAGACCAGAGCAAGACCAAACTTGAGTGCGACGCTCACCGTGTTGACTCTCACCATGTTGACTCTCACCATGTTGACTCTCACCATGTTGACTCTCACCATGTTGACTCTCACCATGTTGACTCTCACCATGTTAGCTCTCACCACTTTCGTGTACCCCATACAAAATTTACTCCGGGAGGACCAACCAACTTGAGTGCGACGCGCTCACCATGTTGACGCTCCCACGGCTGAAGCGCCGCTCGGCCTGGCCGCAGCAACTCGAGTGCTCGAAAATCCGGGATTCACACGGGCCGCGGGCGTTCCTGCAATTCTCAGAATCCGTAATCGAGCAACGCTAACGAAGGTGGAAACTGCGGTTCGCTCGCCGGCAACTCTCCGAGGTACGAAGCGGGATGAATGAGAGGAAGGATTGACGAGGAGGAAGAGGGGTTTTACTAAAAGAAGAGAACGAGAGAAGATAAGGGCGCTGCTGCTCTTCTTCCGAAGCGGGATGAGTCATCGACAGCGTGGCGCCGCCTCTATGCTGTCGATGTAGTCCTGCCAGCGCCGATATCTGTGATTCAACACAGGAAAGATATCGGCGGGATCCCGCCGAAACCCCCCTTGCGCCCCTGCGTCATTCTGCCCGCGTCATTTTCGTTCTGTCGCCGTCACGGTCGCCTAGCGCAGCACGCGAGGGGAGAAAGCCGACCCCCTCCAGCCCGCCCGATGACCCCCGCCAGCTTCGGAGTGACGCGAGCTGCTCCCCCCTGTCCCAATCCTCGCCTAATCGCAAAACAGGGGGCGCTTCGGGAATAGGAGCGAGCGTTAGTTGGAGTCACACGGTGGAGAGAGTTTTGCTCAATTCCGCGGAGTCGCGGTTCGTTTTATTATCGCCACGTGGCATGCCTTCGATCGCGAGAACCGCAATCTGTTTTATTTTTCTCACAAAGTTCAAGACAAATTTAGTTAAGTTCTGTACGGTGCTGCCCGCGAGCTAAAATAAAACCCAATCGGGCCTGGCATGGATTAGGGAGCATCAACCTTAAACACCTTGCCTCTATGTGTTTAGGGTTGATGCATCCCTAACGCATGCCTTTCCCGTAGGGGTTTTATTTTTGCCCGCGGGCAAGGCAGTACATGTGATCCACTAGATTTCACTTAAAATTTGTGGGAACAATAGAACAACTCGCGGTTCCCACGATCAAAGGCATGCCACGTGGCGAAAATAAATTAAACCGCGGTTCCACGAAAATGAGCAAAACTCTCCACGGTGGAGCTTGCGTGGAGCAAGCATGGAGGTTGAGCTTGGTTTTCGATTCATGCCCGCGCGACACCTGTTGTTAGCGAAATGCCTAGGGTATTCGTTTTTCGCTTCCGGTGTTGAATTCGCCCTTGTCGCCCGATCACTGGTTTCGCCAAGGCTATTCTCGTATTAAAGGCCCCGCTAAAGATCACTGACTTCCAAAGTTGTTAGTAATCGAATTCGTAATATCTGCATTGTAATCTATTTGTCAATACTCTGTACACAATAGATAAGTCCAGGCTTTTCTTCAGGGTCGGTTCGGTACATAAGCATTATGAGATGTTACAATACGGTGGATGCTTGGTGGGTTTGTTCTTGATGTGTTGAACTCATTGTATATAGGTTAGTGCATCTGCGCAACAAGTCGTGCTCGTCGGCTGCTTGACGCTTTCAATTCGACCCTGAAGTCCTAATAGTCCTAAAAGTCCTCTCACGAATGCGACACTGAGCGAGTAGCTATCGTTTGTTTCATCACCGTGCCTGACGCGCCTAACGCGCCAACGCGATTTACGTTCCTTACGAGATTTGCGTATCGTAGACCAGTCTCCCAGCAACTCCTTCGTACAACTTTCGTGGACCGAGTTCACGTAGTATCGCGTCCACCAGGCGGGCAGTCGCGGATGCAGGCGGCGCGGCGAGAGCAATGCGGCGCGATGTGCGGGTTTTAGTGGCAGTCGACCAATCACAGGGCGCCGAGACGGTGCGGGAACGGGGAGATAGCGAATGTGGGTGGGAGCGAAAGAAGGGGGACAAGGAGAGCAGGGGAGTGAGAGCAGGGGAGTGAGAGCAGGGGAGTGAGAGCAGATATGAGTGTGAGGTTGTGCTGCCTTTTGCCGATTCTAACCCGTCCGTTGCTGCAATCCACTGCTGCCGTCCTGTGCTGCCGTTCACTGCTGCCGTCCTGTGCTGCCGTTCACTGCTGCCGTCCTGTGCTGCCGTTCACTGCTGCCGTCCTGTGCTGCCGTTCACTGCTGCCGTCCTGTGCTGCCGTTCACTGCTGCCGTCCAACAACCCCCCCATTCCTCTCTCTCTCACGGGTTGCCTCTCCTACTCCCACAGGCGTTTCACTTCGCGCTGACCCTGCTGTCGCGCAACGCCACCATCTACGCGTTACACGTCCGGGACCCCAATACAGGTGAGTGAGCCTGGTGGCTATCAGTCGACTTAAGGTTTTCTCCCCATGCCGCGCTCTAAATGCTTTGCTTGCATGTCCGGGGTCCCGGGACCCCAACAGCGGTGGTTTCCTTCCTGACACGTCTCGAAACGCCATATGATATGCGTTGCACGTTAGGAACACCAACACCATGCTGTCGTGCGTCAGGAAATGCTGTTGTGCGTCAGGAAATGCTGTTGTGCGTCAGGAAATGCTGTTGTGCGTCAGGAAATGCTGTTGTGCGTCAGGAAATGCTGTTGTGCGTCAGGAAATGCTGTTGTGCGTCAGGAAATGCTGTTGTGCGTCAGGAAATGCTGTTGTGCGTCAGGAAATGCTGTTGTGCGACAGGAAATGCTGTTGTGCGTCAGGAAATGCTGTTGTGCGTCAGGAAATGCTGTTGTGCGTCAGGAAATGCTGTTGTGCGTCAGGAAATGCTGTTGTGCGTCAGGAAATGCTGTTGTGCGTCAGGAAATGCCATTGTGAGACAGGAACCCCTCTGTCTTTTCCCTGTTTTCTCTCCATGCCACTGCCTGTCCGACACATGTGAGGGATCGTTCTTTAGTTGACTTAGAAGCTTTCTCTCCACGCCACCATCTATGAGTTACGTCTATGCGTTACGTTACATGTCAGGGACACCAACACTGGTGAGCCTGGCAGTGGTGGTGGTGGGGTGGCATGGCATGGGTGCATGCATGGCACGAGAAGCGCAGCAGCAGCGGGCAACAGCTGGATATACGAGGCAGAGCAGGCAACAGCGGTGTCGTAACACCCCCTCCCCACACTCTCCCCCTCTCTCCCCTCCCACCCACCCCGTGCCAGAGGCAGCATGGACGTGCGAGGCAGAGCAGCGCAGCAGCAACGCCCCCTCACCACACCTCGGCCACTACACTCCGCTCTTCTCCCACTGCCATTGCTCCCCCTTCCCTCTCTCCCCGTGCCAGAGCCAGCATGTATGTAGGAGGAAGTGCAACGCACCAGCACTGGGTAGTGATGGTGATGGTGATGGTGATGGTGATGGTGATGGTGGTCACTGGAAAATCAGATCCAACTGCTAGTCCTCCATCAGTGGCCAACTGCTAATCACTGGTGGTCACTGGCCTTCCAGGCCCATCCTCCTCTCCGCCCCTTTCCTTCTCGCCAGAGTCGGCGTGGATGTACGAGGCAGAGCAGCGCAACAGCAACACCCAATACCACCAGTCCTCTCCTTCCCCCTGCCCTTAACCATGCTCTTCCTCCCCACCTTCCCCCTTTCACCCCCCATTTTATTCTTTTAGAGTCGGCATGGATGTATGAGGCAGAGCAGCGCAACAGCACTGGGCAGGCGTTGGTGTGGGAGTGAATCCGAGTCGGCTCAAGAGTATGAGGCGGAGTGGCGGAGTCTGGGTTTGGCCCAACCCATCTTCCCTGTATCCCTCCCCTCTCTTCCAGAGTCGGCATGGATGTACGAGGCAGAGCAGCGCAACAGCACTGGGCAGGCGTTGGTGTGGGAGTACGAGGTGGAGGCGCGGGCAGAGGATCTGCTGGCACGGTTCCGAGGGATGGCACATGCAGCTGGAGTGAGTGGGGGAAAGGGGGGAAGGGGGGGTTGAGTGGAGGAAAAGAGGTGTGGGAATACGAGGTGGAGGCGAGCGCAGAGGATCTGCTGGCACGGTTCCGAGCAGCCGGGGTGAGTGGGATGAGAGGAGGGGGTGATGAGGTGTAGGCACGGGCAGAGGATTTGCTGGCACGGTTCCGAGGGATGGCTCATGCAGCCGGGGTGAGTGAGATGCGAGAGAGTGTTGGAAGTGGGGGAGACGAAGGGGGAAGAAGGGGGTGAGGAAGGTGGTTACTGTCGCACCTTCCAGGCGCTGGTGTGCGAGTTTGAGGTGGAGGCGCGGGCAGAGGATCTGCTAGCACGATTCCGAGGAATGGCACATGCTGCTGGGGTGAGTGGAAGGGGGAAGGGGGAGCGGAAGGGGAAGAGGGGGGCGGGGAAGGTCGTTAATGACACAGCGGGCAGGCGCTGGTGTGCGAGTTTGAGGTGGAGGCGCGGGCAGAGGATCTGCTAGCGCGATTCCGAGGAATGGCACATGCTGCTGGAGTGAGTGTGGAGGGGGGGATGGGTGGGGAAGGTGTTACTGATGCTATGCAGGCGTTGGTGTGGGAATACGAGGTGGAGGCGAGAGCAGAGGATTTGCTGAGTCGATTTCGGGGGATAGCACATGCAGCAGGGGTGAGTGGGATGAGGGAGAGGTGGTGAGGGAGAAGGTGGTCGCAGACGCACCGGGCAGGCGTTGGTGGAGGCACGGGCAGAGGATTTGCTTGCAAGTAACCGAGGAATGGCGCATGCAGCTGGAGTGAGGAGGGGAATGGGAGGAGAGAGGGGGGGGGGGGGGGGGGGGCTGAGTTGATGGGATGGGAGGGGAACAAAGGGGAAGGGCCAGGAGGGGGAGTATGAGGCAGATCACCCACATTCTCTTGTCCACCAGATAGCGTGCCACGCCGTGTCATGCAAGGCAGGAGATACATGTGCCAAGCTGTGTGGTGAGACGGCTTGAAGCCCATCCTTCACCCACCCTCTCTTGTCCGCCAGATAACCTGCCATGCAGTGTCACGCAAGGCGGACGATGCACGGTCAGAGCTCTGTGAGGCAGTGGAGAGGCAGGCCATAGAGCTGCTGGTGGTGGGCTCTCGAGGGCTGGGCACCCTCTCCAGGTGGGTGGGAGTGCTGGGTTCTGTTCTGTGCCTGCATGTTGCTCTCATCTCAGCTGTACCTCAGCCATTCAGGGTGGAGCGGCAGGCCACAGAGCTGCTCGTGGTGGGCTCAAGAGGGAGGGCTGGGCGCCACTGTCCAGGTGAGACTGCTGGCTTCTGTGCGGTAGCTGTTTTGCTGGTGTATCTGTCATGTCACGTTTCGTTTACCCTCACTTGTAAGGCAGCCCGGATGAATTTGCCCGTGGATGTGTGCTCTCCTCTCCCTCGTGTTCCTTCATCAAGTGATCGTATCTTGCTTTATTTGCGTTTCATTGTTTGATTCTTTTGCTGTGAGTGGCAGAGCCATGCTTGGGAGTGTGAGCGACTATTTGATCCACAACGCGTCTTGCCCGGTGTTGGTTGTGCCCAATCCATTCCAGTAGTGAACATGACACGCTTGGTTTGTGTAGAGTAATAAATAAGCATCGTTGCTAGTGTATTTCAAGTTTCTCGTTAATTTATGCAAGCTCTCCCCTTTCTCGCTAATAAGTGTAAATTCAAACATGCTTTGCTCAATTGAAGGTCCCTAAACCGGTATTCAATGTGCATTTATGAAATGTCCCCACGCTAATCTCGGGAACTCCTATTGTCGCGTCCTTCGCCCAGATTTTGTCGAACATCTGTCGCCTACATGCCGTCCAAACACCATTCTTCCAGAGGTCGAACACGGTATGACGGGTTTGAAAAAGATATCAGTGAGCTGCAGGACGGTATAGGTAGCTGCAGGAACATTTGTGTTACGGTCTCCAACACCCCACCCCATCCCTCTCCAACCCACCCCATCTCTCTACACCCCACCACCCGTTCACATCAACCCCTTCTGGCAAGAACCTGTGCCATCCGCGGGTGACTGGCATTTGCCTCTTTCCCGCCAAAACAGCTCTGCTCTGCTGCCTCACCCCAACCAGAACCCAGACAGAACGTGCATTGCTATGGCGCTGCAAAGCCACTATGAACAGCTGGTTTCGGTCGCGATATGATATGAACCGTGAAGCTGGTTTGGACCCGTGTCTTTATTTGAGAATCATGCTGACATTCCGAGGTGACTTTTGAGTCGACTCAAAAGTCATCATGCTGACATTCCACTAGTTTGTGCCTCACATCGCCCCAGTCAACATATCCATCGCTTAGCATCACTAGACAAAAACTGCTCCTGGTAGGCGTCATGGACAGCAAGATTCTCATATCGACCTTCGCCTCTAGCAATGCCGTTATTCGCTGCTGAAATCGCTCACGAATTCGCGCGAATCGCGGACGGAACGCGACAATGGCAGGCCGGCGCCGCGCGTCGTTTCCGGCGATGTCTCTTGTCAAGTACTTTCTACCCGCGTACTACCTCCGTCGGCCGAAGCGCCTCTTCGTCCTCTCGTTTCTCCTGATCGCGGGGATGTTCCTCCTCCTGCGCCGGCAGCACAAAGCGCGCCAAGTGAAGGTGCGGTCCAAGTGGTTTGGACGGCATTCAGGCTCGGTTAAAGAAGCTAGGCTCGGGTTGGAGTCAACGGCAGTGTAACTTTCCGTTCCATGAAGTTAGGCTCGGCCGACGTTTTGGGCTACAGCCAGGTTTGGGCTGGCCGAACCCGTTCTGGCCAAGTTTGTATGTTAGAATCTTGACGAGTCGATCGTCGCGGTTGCGTTCCCGACCGACATTTGCGCTCCATTTTTCGCTCGATCCGAAATTCCAAATGGGCCTGCCTGACTCCCTCTCTTCCCTTCACCCTCAATCTCCATTCGTCCCCTCTCCATTCCCGTCGCCTTTCCCTCCACGCTTCTCCCTTTTCCTTCACTTCCTCCCCATAACCAACACTCCCAAAAAAGCCCCATACAACCCCCCAAACACCTTCATTCAACTCAAGTACCTATGAACACCCTTCCAAACACCCCATCCACCGATGGCAGGCGCTCACAGCGAGGGTGCAGGCGTTGCACAGCCAGAAACAGAGCATGGAGGCCGAGGTGAGCCTCGCTATAGTGTGAGACTCGTTACAAGGTGAGACTCGCTATAGTGTGAGACTTGTTACAAGGTGGGGCTCGCTATAAGGTAACACCCCGCGCAAACACCCCATGCACTGATGACAGGCGCTCGCAGCGAGGGTGCAGGCGTTGCACAGCCAGAAGCAGAGCATGGTGGCCGAGGTGAGCCTCGTTATAAGGTGAGACTCGTGACAAGGCGAGGCTCGTTATAAGGTGACACCCTAGGGAAACACCCCATGCACTGATGACAGGCGCCCACAGCGAATGCAGGCGTTGCACAGCCAGAAGCAAAGCATGGTGGCCGAGGCGCGCCTCGCTACAGGGTAAGGTTAGACCCGTTTTAAATTTAGACTCGTTATAAAGTGAGGGGATACACGCTATAAAGTGAGACTCGCTATAAGATGAGACTCGTTATGAGGGTAGACTCGCTATAAGGTGAGACTGGTGAAGGGGAGACGCAGTATAAGATGACGCAGGTCGCCCTTTGGCTCCATACCATGGGCACCTGAAGCAGCAAATGTATTGGGATGAGCAGCTTCATGAGCACCTGATATCCAACTTGAAATTGCGATGTTTATACTCATAAGTGCGTGTCGGGTCAGGCCCATACCTCTTAAGTCATACCCATTATTACAACCTGTTACCCTTATTTCGTCTAGTAGTGCGAGCTGAAAAGGGCAGAATTTATGGGGGCGGGGCCAATTTAGAGGAGAGAGAAGATCTCTGATCATCGCTTGCCTATAAAAGCCCCGTGCTCGTTATGAATCGTGTTTAGAGGTTCCAAACCACTGAGGTTCCAAGACACATCGTGTTTGGACCTTTCCCCTCCCCTTCTTTCCCTCCACCGCACCCCCTTCCCCACCCTCTTCCACTTCCTCGTCCACATTCCCTATCTCCCCCCCTCCTCCCCTCTACCCACGTTTTTTCCCCTATGACAGTTGGAAAAAACGCGTAAGGGATCACATGGGAGTGCCAAGGAGGGGGAAGAGGCGGGGGAGGAGGAGCAGTCGTTTCGAGTCGTACCTGTGAACCTGAGAGGGCGAGGGCGAGCGGGAGTGGGCGAACGAGTGAGAGGTGTCGGGAGAAGAGGAGGGAGAGGAGGAGAGGTGGACGGGCGGGGAGGAGAGGGGAGGAGGAGACGGAGGGGACGATCGAGAAGGAAGAGAAGGAGGAGGAGGAGGAGAGGGGGCGCGGGGGGAGGTAAATTGAGGGGAGCAGTGGTGGGTGGGGATGGGCAGGATGAGGGCGGGAGGGGGAGGGGATAAGAGAGGAGGAGGAGGGGGAAGACGGGGTGGAGGAGAAAAGGGAGGCGATACGAGAGGCGATGGCGCATGCATGGAAGGGGTACAGGCAGTATGCATGGGGCATGGATGAACTGCAGGTGCGAGCAGAGCAGGTCTGCAGTGATTGAGATGGGTGATGATGGCGCATACATGCATGGAAGGGGTACAGCCTTACAGGCAGTATGCACGGGGCGTTGGAATTGGCGTGATGATGTGATGACATAATGGGATGCCCCGTCCCCTGTGTCCCCCTGGTTGATGCTGCAATGGATAGGAGGGAGGGGTACAGGCAATATGCATTGGGCGTCTGAATTGATGTGATGGCATAATGGGATGCCCCCTTCCCTGTGTCTCCCTGCATCCTGCACCCCCCCCTGCCTCCTGTCCTTTTCTCCCTGCATCCCTCCACGCCCGCCACCAGCCGCACAACAAGACAGGGGCGAACCACCAGATGGGTTTGACCATCGTTGACTCGCTTGACTCAGAAGTCACCCCAACCCTCCGCCCCGCCGTTTTTACTCCCCTCACATTACCAGCCGCGCACCAAGACAGGGGCGAACCACTTTGGGGGAATAGGGTTGACCATCCCTGACTCGCTTCCACCCACACACGCCCCCGCTCCCACCCACCCAGCCGCGCACCAAGACAGGGGCAAACCACTTTGGGGAATGGGTTTGACCATCGTTGACTCGCTTGACTCGCTCTACCTCATGGGGCTCACCAAGGAGTTTGATGAGGCCAAGAGGTATGCAGTGCGGTGTGGTGCAGTTATGTGTGGAGTGCTGCTTTGTGGTGTGGTGAGCTATGGCGGAGTGCGATTGAGTTAACATTCATTGACACCTCATGGGGCTCACCAAGGAGTTCAGCGAAGCCAAGAGGTATGCAACATGGTGCGGTGCAGTGTGGTGTGGTGTGGTGTGGTGTGGAGCTGTGTGGTGAGATTGACAACTGTTGACTCGCTCTACCTCATAGGGCCACGAGGTAGGCGATATGGTGAGGTGTGGTGCGATGTGGTATAGTGAGATTGAAAATGTTTGACTCGCTCCACCTCATGAGGCTCATGCAGTGTGGAGAAATTCGGCAAGGCCAAGACGTACGTGATGCAGTGTGGTGCGGTGTGGTATTATCGTGTTATGTGGTGTAGTGGGTCTTAACCACTGGATAGATCGAGAGCGTGGGTAGAGAAGCATGGGTAGAGGTCCACTGGATAGAGATGAGCACTGGACGAAGTGTGAGGAGCACTACTCGACTCATTTTTTATGGCTTCGTCTGAGAAAAAGGGATGCGAGGAGTAGTACTCAAGGGCGAGTGGATTTCCTAATGGCCTGCCTCATTACTCGCATTGTTGGGCGATCGATCTCCACTTGTGACAAGGCAATATTGCTCCCCTTGGCAACATTACTCATTCGTCTTGTTTCATAATCACCCCTTGATGCTCTCTTTTTCCTAGGGACGGTACATCATCACCTCTTTTTGTCTCTCTTGTCAAATCCTTATGACTCCGTTTTGTCTCTCTTGTGTTTTGCTCATCGGTCTATAATGCTCTCTTGGGTCTTTCTTGTCTGTTCCTCATCAGCTGGATTCAGGAGAATCTCTTCTTTCAGCGAGACTATGATGCTACCGTCTTTGATTTGAGTCGACTAGCAAGCCTCCTCATCTCGCATGGGTGTCTCCTTGCCTCTCCCCGCCCTCCCTCTGTCAGCTGGGGCAGGAGAACCTCTTCTTTGAGCGAGACTATGATGCCAACGTCTTTGAACAGAGGGTGCTTTCCCCTCCATACGTGTTTTACAGTTGCTCAACTTATCTTGTCTTCCCCCCTCGCTCTCTATCAGCTGGGTGCAAGAGAATCTCTTCTTTGAGCGAGACTACGATGCCAACGTCTTTGAGTCGACTAGCAAGCCTCATCGTCTCCCATGGGTGTCTCCTTGCCTCTCCCCTTGATTCTCCCCTCGCCCCCTCTGTCAGCTGGATTCAGGAGAATCTCTTCTTTGAGCGAGGCTATGATGACAACGTCTTTGAACAGAGGGTGCTTTCCCCTCCATACGTGTTCTTCAGTTGCTGAACTTGTCTTGTCTTCCCCCCCCCTCGCTCCCTCTATCAGCTGGGTGCAGGAGAATCTCTTCTTTGAGCGAGACTACGATGCCAACATCTTTGAAACCACCATTCGGTATGTAACTGCCTCGCAACTTATTTCAGATGCCTGGAAATGTGCGGAACAAAACGCGTTAGATAGAGCTAAAATGATTTAGTTTGGGTGCAGGAGACCAATGGGCTATAATCTTGAAAAGTGTGAGCTTATTCTCTGTGCTGCGCTGCATGCATTGCGCTGCAAACCACGTGACGCCACGCCATCACTGGACATAGCGTTTTCGTCACAAATCACGTGTGTGTGGTACAGCAACTTTCGTGTGTGATTTCGCCATGTGTGCGCTGCTGTGCGAATGCACTGGCTGATTCATGCCAATCCAACGGCAGCACGATTGTTTTCATGATGACAATACAAAATAAGGTAAAGAAGAATGTATAAGGTTATGGATTTCAATCAATGGGTGTAATTTTGTTGCCGTCAATTTTGTTGCAAAAAGAACTCATCACAGCCCAATTGATATTAATTTCTTTCCATGGCTTCGTTGAAAAATAAGGAAAAAAGTGTTCCTAATGCTGCTAACCCTTCCAAACACTTACTCCCCCCACCTTTCCTCTCTGCCTCCCTCCTCCCTCTCCCTTCCAGCATACTGGGCGGGCTACTGAGTGCGTACAACCTCTCAGGAGATCCAGTGCTGCTCGCCAAAGCCAAGGAGCTCGCAGACAAGCTGCTGCCAGCCCGCCAGACACTGACTTTTCCTCTCTCCTCCTCTCTACTCTCTCTTCTCTGTTCCCTCCCCTTCTCTTCTACCCCCTCTCCCAGCATACTGGGTGGGCTACTGAGTGCGTACGACCTATCAGGCGACCCAGTGCTGCTCTCCAAAGCAAAGGAGCTTGCAGCCAAGCTGCTGCCGGCCTTCTGAGCATCTACTCCCCTTTCCTCCTCCTCCTCTCTACTCCTTCTCTCCTCCCCTCTCTCCTCCTCCCTTCCAGCATACTGGGCGGGCTACCAAGTGCGTAAGATCTCTCAGGCGACCCAATGTTACTGGCCAAAGAATGCTCCTATGCCCAATGACATTCTTCCACATGCCCAAACATCGCCCCTCCACCTCTCCCCCCCCCTCCCAGCATACTGGGCGGGCTACTGAGTGCATACGACCTGTCAGGCGATCCAATGCTGCTGGCCAAAGCGAGGGTGCTCGCAGACAAACTGCTGCCATGCCAGTCACTTGCTTCCCCCTCCCCCCCTCCTCCCCACTCCATTCCTTCCCCTCCTCTGCGCTCCCCTCCTCTCTCTTCCAGCATACTGGGCGGGCTACTGAGTGCGTATGACCTCTCAGGCGACCCAATACTACTGGCCAAAGCAATGGAGCCCGCAGACAAGCTGCTGCTGGCCTGCCAGGCATTCACTTTCACCTCTCCTCGTCATTCCCTTCTCTCCACACCCCTCTTCTTTCCAGGATACTGGGCGGGCTACTGAGTGCGTACGACCTATCAGGAGACCCAATGTTGCTGGGCAAAGCGAGGGAGCTCGCAGACAAGCTGCTGCCGGCCTTTGCCACGCCCACGGGCATCCCCCACGTGTTTGCTGGGCAAAGCCTCGCCAGCTGCTGCCGGCCTTTGCCACGCCCACGGGCATCCCCCACGTGTTTGTCAACCTCGCCAGTGGCACCGCACGCTCCCCCAGCTGGACTAGGGTGAGTTGTGTGGGGCATGTGCATCGGCATGAGTTGTTTTGCGCTAGGGGCAAGGGACAAACAAGCTGCTGCCAGCCTACGCCACTCCCACGGGCATCCCACTCGCCTTTTTCAACCTCGCCAGTGGCATTGCACGCTCACATGACTGGACTGGAGTGAGTTGTGTGGAGCACGCGCATAGGGGGCACGAGCTGTTGTGTGTTAGAGGCAGGGGGCAGACAGCCTTCGCCACGCCCGTGGGCACACAACAACTCGTGCCCCTGCACATGCTCCTTATGCGCGCATAAGAGGAGGCGAAGGCTGTCTGCCCCCTGCCTCTTATGCCAGGGGGCTGCCAGCCTTCGCCACGCCTACGGGCATCCCCCACGTGTTTGTCAACCTCGCCAGTGGCACGGCACGCTCACCCAGCTGGACTAGGGTGAGTTGTCTGTCAGGGCACTCTTCGTGCTCTTGACATTGCAGGGCACGAGCACAGCAGGGGCGCCTGAGTTGAGTTGAGGCTGCAAAACATAGCTGTCAACCTCGCTAGTGGCATAGCTGTTGGGCCGTGAGACTGCTGCAGCATATGAGCAGAGCATACGGGGCTAGGAGCTACGGGGTGGGGGACAAGCTGCTGCTGCCGGCCTTTGCCACCCCCACGGGCATCCCCCACGTGTTTGTCAACCTCGCTACTGGCACGGAAGACTCTCCCAGCTGGACTAGGGTCAGTGTCACTCTACGGGGACACTCTAGGGACACTCGCTCGCTCAGCTCCATACCCTCACCATTCCCTGTTCTGCCTTCCTGGCGGATCTGGGCTCCACGCAGCTCGATACTCGCCTCCCCTTCCCCCACCCGCGCTCTGCCTGCCTGGCCGACCTGGGCTCCACGCAGCTAGAGATGGTGGCACTGGCACTCTCTCAACGCACCATCCTTCCCATCCCCCCCCCATCACCTCTTGCCTTTGTTCATGCCCTCAGCGCTCCGCCATACTGGCAGACCTGGGCTCCACGCAGCTAGAGATGGTGGCACTCTCTCAGCGCACCGGCGACCCCAAATACGCCAACACTGTATGCACCTCCTCTCCTCCTTCCACGCACCTTCCCTCCCCTCCCCTCCCCTACTTCCACGCACCTCCCCTCTCCTCCCCTCTCCTCCTTCCACGCGCCTCCCCTCCCCTCCCCTCTCCTCCTTCCACGCGCCTCCCCTCCCCTCCCCTCTCCTCCTTCCACACCTTCCCTCCCCTCCCCTCCCCTACTTCCACGCACCTCTCCATCCCTACCCTCCTTCCACGCACCTCTCCATCCCTACCCTCCTTCCACGCACCTCTCCATCCCTACCCTCCTTCCACGCACCTCTCCATCCCTACCCTCCTTCCACGCACCTCTCCATCCCTACCCTCCTTCCACGCACCTCTCCATCCCTACCCTCCTTCCACGCACCTCTCCATCCCTACCCTCCTTCCACGCACCTCTCCATCCCTACCCTCCTTCCACGCACCTCTCCATCCCTACCCTCCTTCCACGCACCTCTCCATCCCTACCCTCCTTCCACGCACCTCTCCATCCCTACCCTCCTTCCACGCACCTCTCCATCCCTACCCTCCTTCCACGCACCTCTCCATCCCTACCCTCCTTCCACGCACCTCTCCATCCCTACCCTCCTTCCACGCACCTCTCCATCCCTACCCTCCTTCCACGCACCTCTCCATCCCTACCCTCCTTCCACGCACCTCTCCATCCCTACCCTCCTTCCACGCACCTCTCCATCCCTACCCTCCTTCCACGCACCTCTCCATCCCTACCCTCCTTCCACGCACCTCTCCATCCCTACCCTCCTTCCACGCACCTCTCCATCCCTACCCTCCTTCCACGCACCTCTCCATCCCTACCCTCCTTCCACGCACCTCTCCATCCCTACCCTCCTTCCACGCACCTCTCCATCCCTACCCTCCTTCCACGCACCTCTCCATCCCTACCCTCCTTCCACGCACCTCTCCATCCCTACCCTCCTTCCACGCACCTCTCCATCCCTACCCTCCTTCCACGCACCTCTCCATCCCTACCCTCCTTCCACGCACCTCTCCATCCCTACCCTCCTTCCACGCACCTCTCCATCCCTACCCTCCTTCCACGCACCTCTCCATCCCTACCCTCCTTCCACGCACCTCTCCATCCCTACCCTCCTTCCACGCACCTCTCCATCCCTACCCTCCTTCCACGCACCTCTCCATCCCTACCCTCCTTCCACGCACCTCTCCATCCCTACCCTCCTTCCACGCACCTCTCCATCCCTACCCTCCTTCCACGCACCTCTCCATCCCTACCCTCCTTCCACGCACCTCTCCATCCCTACCCTCCTTCCACGCACCTCTCCATCCCTACCCTCCTTCCACGCACCTCTCCATCCCTACCCTCCTTCCACGCACCTCTCCATCCCTACCCTCCTTCCACGCACCTCTCCATCCCTACCCTCCTTCCACGCACCTCTCCATCCCTACCCTCCTTCCACGCACCTCTCCATCCCTACCCTCCTTCCACGCACCTCTCCATCCCTACCCTCCTTCCACGCACCTCTCCATCCCTACCCTCCTTCCACGCACCTCTCCATCCCTACCCTCCTTCCACGCACCTCTCCATCCCTACCCTCCTTCCACGCACCTCTCCATCCCTACCCTCCTTCCACGCACCTCTCCATCCCTACCCTCCTTCCACGCACCTCTCCATCCCTACCCTCCTTCCACGCACCTCTCCATCCCTACCCTCCTTCCACGCACCTCTCCATCCCTACCCTCCTTCCACGCACCTCTCCATCCCTACCCTCCTTCCACGCACCTCTCCATCCCTACCCTCCTTCCACGCACCTCTCCATCCCTACCCTCCTTCCACGCACCTCTCCATCCCTACCCTCCTTCCACGCACCTCTCCATCCCTACCCTCCTTCCACGCACCTCTCCATCCCTACCCTCCTTCCACGCACCTCTCCATCCCTACCCTCCTTCCACGCACCTCTCCATCCCTACCCTCCTTCCACGCACCTCTCCATCCCTACCCTCCTTCCACGCACCTCTCCATCCCTACCCTCCTTCCACGCACCTCTCCATCCCTACCCTCCTTCCACGCACCTCTCCATCCCTACCCTCCTTCCACGCACCTCTCCATCCCTACCCTCCTTCCACGCACCTCTCCATCCCTACCCTCCTTCCACGCACCTCTCCATCCCTACCCTCCTTCCACGCACCTCTCCATCCCTACCCTCCTTCCACGCACCTCTCCATCCCTACCCTCCTTCCACGCACCTCTCCATCCCTACCCTCCTTCCACGCACCTCTCCATCCCTACCCTCCTTCCACGCACCTCTCCATCCCTACCCTCCTTCCACGCACCTCTCCATCCCTACCCTCCTTCCACGCACCTCTCCATCCCTACCCTCCTTCCACGCACCTCTCCATCCCTACCCTCCTTCCACGCACCTCTCCATCCCTACCCTCCTTCCACGCACCTCTCCATCCCTACCCTCCTTCCACGCACCTCTCCATCCCTACCCTCCTTCCACGCACCTCTCCATCCCTACCCTCCTTCCACGCACCTCTCCATCCCTACCCTCCTTCCACGCACCTCTCCATCCCTACCCTCCTTCCACGCACCTCTCCATCCCTACCCTCCTTCCACGCACCTCTCCATCCCTACCCTCCTTCCACGCACCTCTCCATCCCTACCCTCCTTCCACGCACCTCTCCATCCCTACCCTCCTTCCACGCACCTCTCCATCCCTACCCTCCTTCCACGCACCTCTCCATCCCTACCCTCCTTCCACGCACCTCTCCATCCCTACCCTCCTTCCACGCACCTCTCCATCCCTACCCTCCTTCCACGCACCTCTCCATCCCTACCCTCCTTCCACGCACCTCTCCATCCCTACCCTCCTTCCACGCACCTCTCCATCCCTACCCTCCTTCCACGCACCTCTCCATCCCTACCCTCCTTCCACGCACCTCTCCATCCCTACCCTCCTTCCACGCACCTCTCCATCCCTACCCTCCTTCCACGCACCTCTCCATCCCTACCCTCCTTCCACGCACCTCTCCATCCCTACCCTCCTTCCACGCACCTCTCCATCCCTACCCTCCTTCCACGCACCTCTCCATCCCTACCCTCCTTCCACGCACCTCTCCATCCCTACCCTCCTTCCACGCACCTCTCCATCCCTACCCTCCTTCCACGCACCTCTCCATCCCTACCCTCCTTCCACGCACCTCTCCATCCCTACCCTCCTTCCACGCACCTCTCCATCCCTACCCTCCTTCCACGCACCTCTCCATCCCTACCCTCCTTCCACGCACCTCTCCATCCCTACCCTCCTTCCACGCACCTCTCCATCCCTACCCTCCTTCCACGCACCTCTCCATCCCTACCCTCCTTCCACGCACCTCTCCATCCCTACCCTCCTTCCACGCACCTCTCCATCCCTACCCTCCTTCCACGCACCTCTCCATCCCTACCCTCCTTCCACGCACCTCTCCATCCCTACCCTCCTTCCACGCACCTCTCCATCCCTACCCTCCTTCCACGCACCTCTCCATCCCTACCCTCCTTCCACGCACCTCTCCATCCCTACCCTCCTTCCACGCACCTCTCCATCCCTACCCTCCTTCCACGCACCTCTCCATCCCTACCCTCCTTCCACGCACCTCTCCATCCCTACCCTCCTTCCACGCACCTCTCCATCCCTACCCTCCTTCCACGCACCTCTCCATCCCTACCCTCCTTCCACGCACCTCTCCATCCCTACCCTCCTTCCACGCACCTCTCCATCCCTACCCTCCTTCCACGCACCTCTCCATCCCTACCCTCCTTCCACGCACCTCTCCATCCCTACCCTCCTTCCACGCACCTCTCCATCCCTACCCTCCTTCCACGCACCTCTCCATCCCTACCCTCCTTCCACGCACCTCTCCATCCCTACCCTCCTTCCACGCACCTCTCCATCCCTACCCTCCTTCCACGCACCTGCCGTGCTCGTATCCCCCCCCTCTTTCACACACCTGTCCTCGCCTCCTCTCGTGCATCTCCCCTTCCCTTCAAACCAATAGAGAAACCTCTCTCCATGCGCTGTCAAACTAGTTTCAGCTTTTGCAAGCCTTCATCAGTACAAGCCTTCCCTCCAAACCAATAGAGAAACCTCTCTCCATGCAAAGACTTTTGAGGCGCCTCAAAAACCTCTCTCTACGCAACACATATCCCTGGTTGTCTCATTCCGTTCGGGTTTTAGGAGAGACAGATTTACGGCGGAAGGAGTGTGTTTCCAATGTCAAGCACGCCTTGAACCATGCACTGCGCTGCCATCGCCATGCCTTATCTTCGTTCTCATTATATGACAGAATAGACTACTATCAACTGTACTGACCTCACCATGGTGTATCAACTGATATCCTCCGGTCTGGTGTTTTCTTTGGTCGACTGAGATCAATAAACCGCTGAAGAATGTCATCAGCACTCGATGGATCGATGTCTCGGCACTTTCAGCTTTCAAAACGACTTCTCCTTCTCCCCTTCTCCCCCCCTGTTGTTGCTCGGCCTGCCTGCCTGCTCAGTCGGAGCATGTCATCCGTCAGATCGCCAAGGTCTTTCCATCCGACGGTCTGCTGCCTGTGCTCATCAGCACTGCCACCGGCAAGCCCACCTCTCGCCACATCACGATGGGGTCCATGGGGGACAGGTGAGATGGGATGTGGTGAAGTGCGGTGAAGAGCGGCTGGGCATGGTGTTCATCAGCACCACCACTGGCAAGCCCACCTCTCGCCACATCACGATGGGGTCCATGGGGGACAGGTGAGATGTGTGGTGGAATGCGGTGAAATGGAGTGAGATGTGGTGAGATGAGGTGAGATCCGGTGAGGTGTGCAGTGATTCATGCGGTGAAGTGCGGTTGGGCATGGTGCTCAGGTGTCTCACTGCCACCATCAAGCCCACCTCTCACCACATCACAATGGGGTCCATGGGATGGGGGACAGGTGAGATGTGCAATGACATGCGGTGGGAAGCGGTGGGCTGGGGTTGAGATGCTGTGAGATTCGGTGACAAGTGTTTAGCTGTGTGTGAATCGCGGTGAGACGCGGTGAGCCGACCTCTCACCACATGACAGCAGTGTTGTGCTCATCATTCCTGCTTGTGTTATCTTCTCTGTGGTAACACAAGCGTGAGGTATGAATGAATGAACACATCAGGACAGGACTGCTGGTCAAACACTGCCGTCCACCACCGTTCTCCATCCATACAAACTCCCTGGCTGTTTCTACAACAGCTGAACATGGCCCTCTCAAGGTTACCCTTTTTCAAATCTGGAAACCGTTTGTCTCTTCTCTCTCCCTTTCTGCCTTTCCCCACCTCCATTCGCCACACCAGCTTTTACGAGTATCTACTCAAGGTGTGGGTGCAAGGCGGAGGCACTCCCTACGTTCAAAGATACAGGTCAGTTACGATTCATTTGCTAGTCTTTCCGGGGTGCATCACGTCTGTTAGACGTTTTTCACGCTTCAAATTCATCCGATACAAACGTGCTTTGGATCGGAGCGCCTCACTCTCTGAGGCACCTCAAGGGTCATCTTGTTCACCTTGGGGCGAGGGTGCTTTCCCTTGCCCTCTCCCGTCTCTCTCCTCTTCCTTCCACCACTAGACCTGATCTAAACAGCTTCCTTCCTTCTCTCCATGACACCATTGGCAACCAGAGTTCACCACTCTCTGCTCCTCCCCACCGCTTGCCACCACTCGCCACCACTCCCCACCTCTCTCCACCCACAGAGACATGTGGGAGAAAGCCATGAGTGGAATGATGGCAAAGCTGGTTCAACACGCCCCAGCTCCCAACACCAGCACCACCGCCACTACCACCACCACTGCAGCCAACACCAACAGTACCACTAGCAGCACCAGTGACAGAAGCAGCAGCAGCGGTGTTGGCATTAGCAGCAGCGGTGGCGGCAGCACTGAGCCCAGCAGCAGCAGTGATAGCAGCAGCGGTGGCAAAGTGGCATATGTTGCAGAGCACGCGGGCAAGGTAGAGCACAAGATGGAGCATGTGACGTGCTTCGTTGCTGGCATGCTGGTGCTGGGCGCTCAGACCGTGGCGGAGGGGAGTGAACACACTGAGGCATATATGCGGCTGGCTAAAGAGGTGAGTTTAGAGTCGACTCAAATGTCAGAGTCGGCAGCAGCAGAGTGGCGTATATGTGGTGAAGAAGCGTGCGGGGAAGGTAGAGCACAAGACCGAGCTTTGTGCTTCGTGGCTGGCTGGCATGCTGGTGCTGGGGGCTCAAACTGTGGTGGAGGGGAGTGAACACAGCGAGGCATACATAGAGCTGGCTGAAGAGGTGAGAGAGAAAGGAGGAGGAAGGGCGAGAGTGCTAGGAAGGGGGTGTTGCTCAAAACCCTCGAGAGTTGTTGTTGAGTCACCCCCCTCACCCCACCCTCCTCCCCTCCACCCTCCCATGTCCCCCCCACCCTACTTCCGAGCTAAGGCACCCGTGTCATCTCTTCTACTCTACAGCACGTCACCCACTGGTCTCAGTGGACGTTTGGGTCGACTCAAAGTCACCTCGTTGCAGTGGTCTCAGCGGAGAGGTCTACATTCCCTCCCACTCTCTCTGCACTGCCCTCCAACTTTCCAGTTTTGAGACGTCTCAAAACTACACTCCCTCCCACTCTCGCCGCACTTCCCTCCAACTTTCCTCCCCTTCCCCCCACCCCCCATTTCCACCCCCCCCACCAGCTGGGGCACACGTGTCACCTCTTCTACTCTACAGCACGTCACCCACAGGACTCAGTGGGGAGGAGTTACAAGCCCTTACTGACCCCAACCCCGCACTTCCCTGCGCCCATGGGTCTTAGTACGGAGGAAATGGACCCCCCCCCCCCCAACTTTTCCTCCGCGTTCCCAACTCCCCACCCCTTCTCCCCACCAGCTGGGACACACATGTTATCTCTTCTACAGCACGTCACCCACAGGGCTCAGTGGGGAGGACTATACTCCCCCCATACTAACCCGACGCCCGCACTTCCCCCCCACAACTCCCTTTCTCAACTCTCCCAACTCCCCCCACAATCTCCTATCCACCAGCTGGGGCACACGTGTCATCTCTTCTACAGCACGTCACCCACGGGGCTCAGTGGGGAGGACTATGCGTTTGGGGAGAAGGTGCGTGCGGTGCAGCAGCTGCCGTGTGACTGTGTACGGTGATGTGGAGTGTGACAGTTACAGTATAGTGTGACTGTAATGTGTGTCAATAGCTGTAGAGTAGGGCAAAGACTACGGCGTTGACGACACAGTGCGCCTGACGGCTGACATGTGACTGTGTGGGGGTGATGTAGAGTGCGATGAAGACTGTGCATTTGACAGCACGGTACGTGTAGCATGCAGAGTGTGACTGTCGAGAGTGTGACTGTAGAGAGTGTGACTGCGACATGTGACCATAAAGTGCGACAGCAGAATGTGACTGTAGAGTGTGCGCTCAATATGCTCACTCTCTGTCCTTGTTATCTCACTGCACATTTCGTTGAAGCATCCCCAGTGAAATGCGTCCCCAGTGAAATGCGTCCGAAATGCCCATCCTCCTCCATCCATGCGTCACACACCACCACAGGGCATGCGCATGGAGGGGCGCAAGTACAACAGCCTGTAGCCCGAGGAGGTGGAGGCGTGGATGTACCTGTGGAGGGCCACACCTGTTTAAATTCACCTGTGTTCTTCCACCCCTCCGCGCGAGCATCATGCTCACCCACGGGGTTTACCTGTGGAGGCGTGGATGTACCTGTGGAGGGCGACGCACGACCCCTGTGGATAATATCCTGTCCTGCATCTATCCACGTGTGTTTTATCCGTGCTCACCTCTCAACAGGGCATGCGCATGGAGGGGCGCAAGTACAACAACCTGAGGCCTGAAGCAGTGGAGGCGTGGATGTACCTGTGGAGGGCGACGCACGACCCCGTCTACCGGCAGTGGGGTTGGGAGGTCTTCCAGGCCATTCAGACGCACTGCCGCGTGGACAATGGCTTCGTGGGGCTCCTGGATGTGAGTATAACGAATGGGACGGGGCTGTGGATGCCCGAATCTACTTGTGTCCCGCGGGATGGCGTTGGACGGGGGATTGCCTTGCCTTCCAGGCCGTCCAGACCAGACGCACTTCCACGTTGAGTGTGGCTTTGTGGGGCTGCTGGATGTGATGTGAGTCTATCTAGAGATACCACCTCTGGAGGGCGACGCACGGCCCCGTGTACAGGCGCTGGGGGTGGGAGGTCTTCCAGGCCATTCAGCAGCACTGCCGCGTGGACAACGGCTTTGTGGGGCTGCTGGATGTGAGTATAACGAGGTGGCTTTAGAGTTGTATCAACAGAGTTGTATTCGGTGGGTGACACTTACTGATTTGACACGAGCGCGAAAAGGTACCACCAGTGGAGGGCCATGCATGACCCCAGATACAGGCACTGGAGGTTGAAGGTCTCTCGGGCCTTTCAGAAGCACTGCTGCGTGGAAAACGGCTTCGTGGGGCTGCTGGATGTGAGTATAACGGATGGGACTGGGTTTCCATGTGGCCTGATTTACTGGCCGAGGAAATTACACTGGGCTGGCTTTAGGCCTTTCGGAAACGCTTCTGGAAGGTTGTCGTGTGGGTGCTTCAAACCCGATGTTATCTTGACGTTTGACTCTGTTTCCCTCCCTCCCAACGTGATTCTTTCCTTGCTCCAGGCCTCCCAGAACCCTCCGCAACAGGACGACCTGCAGCAGAGCTTTTTCCTTGCCGAGACGCTCAAGTATCTCTACCTCTTGTTCTCGCCGGATGATGTGCTGCCTCTCAACCAATGGGTGTTCAATACCGAGGCACACCCTCTCAAGATTATTTCAAGAGAGTCTGATTTTCCTCCTCAAGTGAAGATTGAGTCTAGATCTAAACGTGATGTGCTACCTGCGGATGAGTAACATGCGGACTGAAAGTACATAGTAAATATGAATGTTTGCTGATAACCTCTTGCCCTAATTTTCCCCAGACGAAGTTTATGAACGGTTTATGTTGCCCTACTTCTGAACGGTTTATGTCATCTTTCAGTCTTGGTTACCGAGTTGCCTTTTTTCTTCGCACACCCGAAACTACCGCCTTTTTTACGATCTCGTTGGAGGTAACTTATGTCGTACAGCTCGCCAAGAGTTTCGCCAGCGACCGTCATGCACAGCTCAAGCGGTCATTGAAATGGAGGTTCAGGATGGAGGGGTGTTGAAGGCCAGGCACGGCCCTTTCCGAGGCTGGTTCTCACACGCTTTCGCATATTTTGGAGCCTACATCGTGTGGGAATATATATGTCGTTTTGCGCGGATGTGGCGCCGATTGCCACAAACCTAGGCGCTGATGCCTCCGTCGCCCAACCGAACCTAGTGAGTGCCGTGATAGGAGGCCAAGCGATTGGGAGGCGCGGCGGCGAGCGGTGCGATCAGGGCCGCCAATTTGATGTGGGGGGAGGGGAGTGGAAGGTGGAGCTGCGTTGCAACACCACTCGGTTCTGGGTGGTGCAGATGTGTTGGTGAAGGCGATCCGACCTTCCGACATTTGGTTCCTCCACTCCACCTAGCCAGGGAGCTTCAGCTCTCAACCCAATCCCCTCCCCCATGTCGGCTCGCCAAATTATCATCCGTAACTCCGTCAGTGGCTGTCCGTCTGTTGTTCGATTTTTCTGACTCGCTTGCCTCTCGACCTCTCAGAATCGCTCAGCTCAGCCACATGCGCTTTTTCCCCCCTTCGCGCTACGATCGCCCGCTTCAGACCTATTAATTTCACTATTAGACATCTTAACCTCACTCCAACGTAGCAGCCCTTCGACGCCTTAGTCTCGCTCCTAAGGGCTCCATCTTATTAGTCTGTCAGCATTATTGCGCCACATACACGAGTTTCTTACGAACATTACGCTGCTCTTTAGCATCATGCGTCACCCGTCGCACGGCGACCGCTCGTCGCATGGCGACCGTTTCTGGCGGCGCTCATGCGACTTCAGCGGGCTTAGGGAGCCGCTGGTCATGCCGACCTGCATGCCGCAATCGCCGCCGCATCCTGCGCAGCTGCACAAGTGGGCGGACCGCACCGTGTACGCAATTTGCGTGGCGCTTCTTTTCGGATCGTTCTTCTTGGTCCACCACACCACCCGTCGCGAAGCGGACTCGACAGGCGGCGACTCGAAAAGAATCGACTCAATAAAGGCCAACTCGCCCTTTTTTATTAGTAACAGCAGCAATACGAGCGCCGAGGAACGATTACAGCGCCGCGTGGCGATAGCATCTCTCTTCTACGATAACGCGAATTGCTCTAGCGATAGCTCACGCGTAACGATAGCAGGACGCAGGCATTTAGAACAAGATGTTGGTGCTGATGCTTCTGCGGTTCCCGCGTGGCAGTCCATCACGTGGGCTCCGGAGAAAGACAAGTACCTTCTAGTCACGTGTACACACGGCCACGTGGCGGACCGCTTGGTGTGCTTGCAGCGGTATGTGCTTGTAGCGGCGATGCTGAATCGCACTCTCGTCATTCCCGAGGACGACTTGTGCGGCGATGCGGCGCGTCATCCCGCAAATCACGGAGACACTAGTATTAGTTGTATTGATAGTGATACTAGGACTAGTAGGCGACGTCACCGTGACTTCGGTCCGCCGTCCGGCGTTAGTTTCGCGCGGGTACTGGATCTGGCAAAGTTGGAACATTGCTTTTCCGGCGGCAGCAGCGGAAGCAGCAGCAGCGGCGGTCAGAACGCGAGGTCTGGCCCTAGCAGTGCCGTGGGAGACGGAAGAGCGAATTTTGCAAGGCGGCTGAGTAACGTGCCACTCTCTGATACCAGCGAAAACAGCGGCGGAGACAGCGGCGGGAACAGCGGGGGGAACAACAAGAGGGCGATCATGCCTCGCGTAATGACATTGACTCGCTTCTTGCGGCTTCGACGAATGAAGACCGTCCACGTGGATAGTCTCGTGTGCGGCCATTCCGCTGGCAGCTGCTCTCTCCCCTCTCACTGCGCGTCCTCTCACCACGAACTTCGCGAATTGCACGAAGCCGATGTAACCCTCCCTCGTCGAACGGATCGCATGCCACCCTTCGTTTCAAGCATCTCCGACTTTCCTCGTGCAATACTCACCGACGCGCCTCGATCGTACCGCGCGTCGGTGCTCTCTCTCGGGGATCTGCGCAACTTAAACGCGTCCGACCTTCCTATCGGAGCAGACATCCCTTATCGCGTATTTCACCAGCTGCTTCTATCGAACCTTGAGAATATTGAGCCCCCGACAGGCGTAAGAGACAGTTGCGTGTTTCCGTTGGAGCCGTCTCGCGAAGTTGTGACTCTAGCGGATTGGTACCGGCGGGAGTATATCGGAGGTGACTATGCCGCGTTGCGCCTGGAACGGAGAGACTGCGTCAGCGAACTGAGTCGAAGCAGCGCGGAAGATTCGGAAGCAGCGTTAGCAAAGAGTGACGAGGTGCAAGGAACGAGTGGCGTCGATGTGGGGGTGAATGGGAAAGGATATCTTTTCGAATCGGTGGTGGACACGTGGAGGCAGCAGGTTGGGCAGAAGGATGGGCAGAGAAACGAAACCGAGCAGTCGGAACAGGAATATTTGCCCCTGGCTGAAATTGCCTCGTTAGTGGGAGACTCGTTAGAGTCTCAAGGCATCCGGGTGCTGTTTCTCAGCAGAAGTGGCGAAGAAGATTGTGCAGTGGATGCAGCCCTAAGAGCCCTGCTGTCTGCGCGCGGCATTACAGTCATGCGTCTACAGTCTGTTATCGAATCCTTCAATAAGAAGCCCAACGGCGCTGGTAGTGGTGGTTGCAAGGATGGTGACTGTGGGAGAGACAGCAACAAGAGGAGCGAGAACAGCAGCAGCAGGAGCAGCAGCAAGATTGGCAGGAGCGATGATGGTGATGATGAGGGAGAGGATGATGAAGAGAGGGATGATGGGAGTACAGCAGCTGTAAGGGAAGGGGACGGACTGAGAGAGGCAGCAACAGAGGCAGAAACAGAGGGAGAGGGAGAAGTAGCAGCAGCAGCATCAGTGTCAGCTGATGTGGCAGCATCAGCAGAGCTCCTACTAGCTGCCAGTGCCCGCACTCTGCTTCTCTCCCCTGTCCACTCGTCTCCATCCTTTTCTCCTTCTCCCTCTCCCTCCTCCTCCTCCTCCTCCTCCTCCTCCTCCTCCTCCTCCTCCTCCTCCTCCTCCTCCTCCTCCTCCTCCTCCTCCTCCTCCCCCCCCTCCTCTCCCTCCTCCCCCTCCTCCCACCCTCCCCTCTCCCTCTCTACCTCAGCCGTTCACATTATGAACCTGCGACGGGCTATGGGCATGCAGTCATGCTCTGACGCGCTGCTATGAGATGCTGATGTGGAGCAAGAATGTGTTTTTTTACCCCAACTTCGAAGCCCACAGAGGGCGAGGAGTCAAAGCTTGGCTCGAGCAGTCGACCCCAATCTGTGACGAGCTGCTCTGGAATGCTGCTGTCATTGGTGAAGCATCAGAGCGCCCAACTCTGCCTGACTGTGATGTGAGCCTGTTGGTGACATGCTGCTGTATTGTGTTGCTGTGACGCGCTGCTGCGGGTGGAACACAGGCTGCAAGGCAGATGGTGGGATCAGTTACTCCAATTGACTCTTCTGCTATTTGCTCACTGTGGCAGAAGCTACCACCTTATTCTTCTAAGCTAGTATGTTGAAATGTTTGCGCTTGGCAGTAGCAGAATAAACGAAGCTAGATTGTCCACTGCTACTTCTCCCTCTCCCTCTGTTTCTGCTGTTAGACAACCCACTTCGTTTAAACAATTGTCCTAGAAATAAACGAAGTGGGTTGTCTAACGTGACGTAGCAGAATCTTCTCAAGGTTGATGAACTTTGTATTATTATTACATAGTTTATCATATATTTAGTAAGAGATGTTTTGCAACATTGTTCAATGCTTTCATATTGTAGACACCTCACCACCTGGAAACCTCAGCCGATCAGGTTCAGGTGTCAAACCAGATTCACATGTGCAGCATCAACCTGATCAGCATGCGTCTCGCGGTTTACAAGTAGGTTTGGATATACCTGAGAATCTACCCAATCACGAAGAAGCAACGTGACACCCACCGCGGCTGAACAAGGGCAGGTCAGAACCTACAGTACAGTACAGCGCGCGAAGTGAACTCGCTGAAACCCAACTCCAACGCGCCGCAGAGAAACAAACACAGCCGCGACTCGATGTCCCTCCGCTCTCTCCTTCCCCTCTCTCATTTCCCTAAATGTTCGCCATTTCCATTCAACCAACAAGCACAGAAACTCATCTGGTCAGTAAGTAGCAGAACCAAGTATACTCCTACATTCGTGTTCTAATTCCACACGACGCAGCGCACGGGTTCGTTTCAATTCACGCCTCTCCCAGCTTTCCAGAATGGCTAGAGCCGCGCTTCTTGCGCTGTCCCTGGCGCTGCTGCTCGCAGTCGCTCGCGCAGGCAGCCCCATCACGAGCGCCACCGCGAATGAGAAGCCCGATCAGAGCAGCAAGAAGGACGACGGGCTCATGACTGAACTTCCCGCGGATATCGCAAAACAGGCCGCGACGGGCAATGCAGCGGGACTCACCTACGTGGATACGGCGCAGGATTCGTTCTTCATGGCTGATGTGAAGAAGGCCGGGTGGAACGCGCAGAAATGCCCGCCTGGATTGAACAAGGAGCTTGCAGGCGCGTGCACGCCGAAGAATTGTTCTAAGGGAGGCATCCCCGCTAAGTGGAAAACCGCTTATCTGCAAAAGAACAAGCTCGGTTACGAGCTGTACGTGCCGGGTAACCCGCTGACGCTGCTAAAGGCTAACCCCGCGTCGTGCTGCAACACCTGCGCCGCAACTCCGCAGTGCACGTACTGGCAGTACATCCCCGATATAACCATCGACGGGAAGAAGGGCAAGGGTGCGTGCTATTTGATCCACGACCAGATTGATTTTACCTGCGGAGAGATGACCGCGCAGTATTCGACGGAAACGAAGCCGGTGAATCTGCAGGTGCGCATCGGTGGAGAGTGTAACCCTAGCGCCAAGATTCTCAACGACCCGCATTTGGTCGGCGCGCACGGCACGCATTTCGACTTCAACGGCCGGCCCGACAAGGCGTTTTGCCTGCTGACGGACCGCGATCTTCATGTGAACATGCTGCTGAGGGGTTATTATGACGAGCGCACCGACAATGCCGCGCTCGTCGTTGATGGAAAGGCGGTGCACACGTGGATTAAGGAGCTCGGGATTGTCTGGACCGCCCAAGGCGCGGATCACAAGCTTCGGCTCGCGGCGCGCGGCGGCAAGCAACAGGAGCGCGGCGACGGGTTTATGAAGAGCATCGAGATTGACGGCGAGGAGATCCCGAGGATGAAGGTTGGCGACACGGTGACGAGCGACGGTGGCCTGACGATTCAATTCCGCGGGCTGGAGAAAGAAGGACCGTTCGATGTGGACTACTATATGCTGACGATCGACGGTCTAATTTCGCTGGATCTGCGCTTGCGCGTCGCGCACCCGAAGCTGCAGACCCCGACCGACGCCGAGGCGCATATCAACGTCGGGATTGCCGAGCTTGAGCACACAGAGGAAATTCACGGTGTGTTGGGGCAGACGTACCGCGCGGATCACTCGCAGCGCGCTGAGGATTTCCAGCGCTTGATCTCAAGCCTACACCGTCCGATCTCGGCTGACGGCGCGGAGGGGAAGGGGTTCTTGGATGGTACACCCAGGTCGTATGAGGCGAGCGATGTGCTTGCAGTAGACTGCGCTTATACCGCGTACGGGCGCGCCAGGAAGGTTATGCCCGTGCAACCATTCCCCTAAAGGGTTTACTCGGTGGCAGGTATTACACTTGTACTATACAGGTCTTGCTTCCGAAACTAGGTTTATAGATAAGTGGGCTGATTTGTTCATTCTTTGCATGATGCATATACAAAATGATTGAAAATTTAAGCCTAACATCTAGTGCCCTGATATGCAGCATTTGACATCTAGAAACAAAAGCCCGTCCCATCTGTCCAACAGAGAAGCATCTCACTGGATCCTGCCAGCCCTAGGGCATACTCATCCATCCACCATCAATTCTACCCCTACCCTGCTTGACTACCCTGCTGCCACTGACCCACTGCCACTGCAATATTGGCTCTTTTGGGACGCTCTCTGCTGGGAGGAGGGATGATGGCTAGGTGACGGGGACTCGCACGGGGCAGGGAGGGCGTGGGGGTGCTGCCACTGACCCGCTGCCCCTCATGGCCCTGGGCCATCCATTTCCTCTCGACAATTAGTTTGGGAAGGCTCTGTTACGAGCAGGGATGATGGCGACTGTCAGAATGAGGAATGGATGATGCATTGATGTTGGTTGGGGTACATATAGCTAACCCTAAGTTTTGTACCCCCTAAGACAAACCTCACTATAGGCTACAACATTTGACACACCCCCATAGCCTAAGTGAGGGGTGTCTAGCAGAACCAAACGAGTACGGTCACAAGACCAGTCCAAGAAACGAAGCTCAGGGTGGATCACAACGTCACCACACAGTCTGAGCACAAACAACAGTGGCCACAAGGCCAGTCCAAGAAGTAACAGAGGTATATAGAAAGCAAAGTAAACAGTACACTCAAGCCTAAGCAACACGAGAACCAGTGTCAACAAGGCCTAACTGCACACAGCACCTCTGGTGGTCACAAGGCGGAAGCGCCTTGGTGAAGATGTCTGCAGTGTTGGCCTCGGACTCCACAAACTCAAAGCGAGCCTGTCCACGCCTCTGCAACTCTCGCAGAAGAAAGTACCTGACGTGAATGTGCTTCACTCTGCTCTCCAGTCGTGGCTCTCGACAAAGGAGAATAGACGCCTTGTTGTCAGTGAACAAGGTCGGTGCAGAGCTCGGCCGCTCACCAAGGTCGGTGAGCAAGAAGGTCAACCAACGCAGCTCCTGTGCCGCCATGGCACCAGCGTAGATCTCAGCCTCAGCTGTAGAGGTCGAGACCGAAGAGGAGCGCGTGGACCGCCAGGAAACAGCTCCAGAACCCAGGCTGAAACAGTACCCCTGAGTAGACCTGTGAGTCTCAGCGTCGTCAGCGTAAGAGGAGTCACAGTGACCAGTAAGTACGACAGACTGCTGCCCTCCAAGAACTAGCCCCACGCCTGATGTCGTCGCTAGGTACTTCGCCACCCTCACAGCTGCTGTCCAGTGAACAGGACGGTGTCTCCCTGGCGCAACAAAGCGCGCAAGAACGCTGAGAGGGAAGGCGAGGTCCGGGCGAGTACAAGTCATCAGGTACATGAGGCAACCCACAAGCTCTGCGTAGGGACCACTAGGCTCGAACGGCTCGTCAGGAAAGGGTCCAGTGAGTCTGTGGTCAACAGCAAGAGGTGTGCGCTGTACTGTGGAGTGCTGAAGCCCGAACCGCTGAAGGACCTGCTGCACCATGTGCGACTGTGAAAGTGTAATGGTGCGAGCAGCTCTGTCCCTGGTGATCTGCAGGCCAAGGTAGTGGCGCAGCTCACCAAGATCAGTGCAGGTGTGTCTCTTCTGCAGTTCGGACTTCACGTGTGCCAAAGCAACCCTGTCAGGGGTGGCGAAAACAAGGTCGTCAACGTAGACCAGAACAAAGAAAGGTGTGGGGCCACGACGAACGAACAGCGACGGGTCAGCAGAAGACGGCTGGAACCCAAGGTCAGACAGGGTAGAACGCAGGGTGTCGTGCCACTCACGAGGAGCCTGACGAAGACCGTAAACCGGTCGCCTCAGCCTCCACTGGGTCCCAGGAGGGAAAGAGCCAGTGAAGGCAGAGGGACGACGCAACCAGACCTCCTCGTGAAGACTGCCCTGAAGGAAAGCAGTAGAGAAGTCGAGAGAGTGTAACTCGTAGTCTCTCTGTGCTGCTACGTGTAGTAACACCCGAAGAGTGGTCATCTTCGGGGTGGGCGCGAAGGTCTGAAAGAAGTCAACTCCCTCGCGCTGACTGAAACCTCTAGCCACGTAGCGCGCCTTGAAGACCGGAGGAGATCCCGGTGGCCGCTTCACCCTGTAGATCCACATGCCGTCGACTACGTTCGCCCCCGGAGGGGGAACCTCATCGACGTAGGTGCCTGTGGATCTGTAGGAGGCCATCTCTGCGTCCATGGCAGCTCTCCACTGAGAGGCCCAAGGCCCTGACACTGCCTCAGCGTAAGTGCGAGGAGTCGGAATGTCAAGGGCGTCGGGGTCACCCTCAGGGGCGAGGAGCATGGCACAGAGATGAGGGGAAGCGGCCGCCAGGAACTCTAGCTCAAACTGCCTGTCCTCTAGGGCGTCACAGCCAAGGGCAGACACACCCCCGACGGCCAGAGGACTGGAAGGAGGAGCTGCCACAAGAGCGGTGGCGAAGTCAAGGCGGCGGGTAGAGGCAAACTCAGTGACTGCGGCAGTAAGAGCGGACACAGAGGACACAGAGGCACGAGGGTGGGTAACAAGAGAGGCGAGAACACGAGAGAGAACAGGACGGTACGTGCGGTAGTAGTCAGTGACAGGAGAAGGAAGCGACACAGTGAGGGCCGACTCAGGAGGAGACGGAAGCACAGACGGAGACGGACGAGGTGGACGAGAACAAAGGAAGGCTGTACGAAGGTCAGTGAAGGGAACAGGAGACGAGGGACGAGCACGAGGGGAGCGACGAGAGGCCCAAGTCTGAGAAGGAGGAGGAGACAACGAAGACTGAGAACGAGGGAAAACAGCGGGAGAGGGGTCAGGAGGAGGAAGCGGAGGACCAGAGACGGGAGGAGAGGGGGAGGAGGAAGGAGAGGGAGACGGGAGACCAAGGGTCCGAAGACCCGAGACAGGAGGAGGAGACGGCAGCAGCTGCTGCTGCTGCTGCTGCTGCTGCTGCTGCCGCGGCTGCTGTGGCTGCTGCTGCTCCAGCGGCTGCTGCCTCTGCTGCTGCTCCTGCTGCTGCTCCTGCTGCTGACGCTCGTGCTTCTCGAGCCGCTGCAACTCTCTCTCCTCTCTCTCCAACTCCAGCTGCTCCTCACGAGCACGGCGAACACGAGCCTGGAACCTGGTCGGGTAGGGGTGGGGGGAAGGAGTAGTGTCCGGGGCAGCGGCAGCCCCAGAGTCGACCTCCGAAGCACCAAGCACACCACCCCCAGAGGCAGCACCAACACCAGCTCCAGACCCAGGCTCTCCAGAAACCGAAGGGACACCCTCACCCCCAGACGCAGCACCCCCAGACTCCGCACCAGCACCCCCAGACTCCGCACGACCAGTACCAGCCCCCGGAAGACAAGAGTCCTCTGCAACCCGCGGCTCAGCTCCAACTCCAGCACCCCCAGAACCAGAGACCTGTACAGGGACAGTCGCAGGACCAACCTCCCGAGAGGGAGCACCTGCAGGAGGCGGCGAGGAAGACTGTGGGGAGGGAGGCTGTACAGGGGGGGCTACCGAAGGGGGAGGGCTAGCCTGAGACACACCAGACGGGGCTGGACCAGGGGGGGGAGGCTGTACCGGGGGAGCAGGCGGGGGAGCGGCTGTCAGGAAGAGGGGGGGAGGAGGAACCAGGAGACCTCGACTGGGGTACCTGACGTAGTACGGGGTGGACTCCTCGAAACGGACGTCACGGGAGTCAAAGAACCGGTGAGAGGGAGGGTGGTAAAAGGTGAAGTCAGAGGAGTCCTCAGGGAAACCAAGGAAGACACAAGGAACGGCGCGAGGCGAGAGCTTGTCCGCGGAGGTGTCGCGGACAAGAGCCAAGCACCCCCAGACACGAAACCTCGACGCGACACCAGGGGACCCTGTCCAAAGACTGGTCGGTGAAGCCTCCGGCCGAGAGACGCGTGGCCAGAGGTTCAGCTGGTGCGCGGCGTACCTGACTGCGTATGGCCACAGGAAATGGGGGGCACGGGCGTGAGTCAAGGAGGTGCGGGCAATCTCCATGACCAGGCCTATGCGACGCTCAGCAACCCCATTCTGCTGTGGGGACTCCGGAAGCGTCCAGGACTGACGAATGCCCTGTTCGCGACAGAATCCAGCGAGAATGCCGGAGCGAAACTCGCCCCCGCGGTCGGAGTGGAGACAGCTGACACGACGACCACGAGTGTCCTGGGTGGTAAGCAACCACCTGATCAGCGTAGAAGTCACCTCAGACTTCCTCGCCAGGGGGAACACTGTGGTATAGCGGGAGTAGTCGTCAACGACCACCAAAAAGAAACGCTCACGCTCAGGGCCAGGGCAAGGAGAGGGGCCCCAGACGTCCAAGTGCAGCGTCTCAAAAGGCTCGGTGGCCGGACGAAGGGAGGAGGAGTGAGGGGTGGCACGCAGCCTACCCTCGACGCAAGGACCGCACGGTGGTGCAAGGGACGGCGGCAGCGACGGCAAGACACGCGGGAGACCTAAGACCAGACGCTGACTAGACATAGCACGCAGACGTGGAAGAGAAGGGTGTCCCATCCGGTGGTGCCACAGAACGGTGGGGTGGGCAAGCGACCGACAGGAGCAAGACGCAGCGACTGGACTGGACGCGACAACCTGAGGGGACGGAACCACCTGGTGAGACGCAGGGAGGAGACTAGGGGGAGGGACAGGAACTGGGAGGAGTGGCTGCTGCGACGGCGGCCGCTGTGGCTGCGGCTGCTGCTGCTGCCGCTGCTGAGGCTGCTGCTGCTGCTGCTGCAGTCGCTGCTGAGCGCGCGGGCCAGTGTGAAGAGTGTAGAGACCGGAGCCCGGCTCAGCAGCAAAAGTGGCGAGAGGCTGGTAAGAGTCCCCGTCAACACACACCGCAGTCTCTCCAGAAGGCTCAAACCACACACCCACGTGCTGACTCACAAGGGGTCGCACGCCCACCAAGTTCCGGGAGAACGAGGGGACGTGAAACCCAGTGAGAGACCCAGAAGGAGCAGCCGGACACGGCAAGGTGGTAGTGTGACGCGCGGTGACTGGTCCCGAAGTGGGATCAGCCAGCGCCACAGAAACAGGCGCAGGAAGAGGCGTAAGTGTCGTGCTGTCACGAAAGAAGCAGTGAGAGGCTCCAGAGTCCAGCGTGAACGACAGCGAACCGTCCTCTGAGGTAGCCGCTGGACTAGAGTCTACACAAGAACCTACACTAGCAACAGGCAACTGAGCAAGGCTAGCACCTAAGCTAACAACACCAGAGTAAGCAGAGTCAGAAACACTAGAGTCAACAACAGCATACATAGCATGAGGAGCACCAATCAGATCAACTAACTGCTCAGCAGACATGCCCCACAGAGCGGAGCCGTAGCGCTGAACCAGAGGAAGCCAGTCAAGGGCAGGACCGCCAACCCCGTAGGCCAACCGGACCGTGTCAGTGAGCTGAGCAAAGCACTGACCAGGGGGGTGAAAGCGGCCACAAGGGTGGCCCCGACGAGGACCTGTCAGAACCTGATAGGTGCAGGGAGGGTAAGCAGCACCACGCTGGGGCTGACGCAGCCCCGACCCCGGAGCCAGCTGCTGACGCTGCTGCTGCTGAGGCTGCTGGGAGGAGAGGGGCTGCTGCTGCTGCTGAAGCCGCTGCTGACGCTGAGCCTGGTACCACGCCGCTGCTCCACCTAGCGGGGCCGGCAGTACAGGAGACGACTGACGAGCTCGGGTGTCGCCACCACCAGCAGGCGCAGTGGAGTCACCAGCCGCTGCACGAGAGGTCTCTCCAGACGCTGCACTCCCACCACCGCCAGTCGCAACAGCACCCCCACTACCTCCGCTACCTCCGCCTCCACCTCCACCAGAACCACCTTTCTTGCCCCCCTTGCCGCGGGACCGCGACGCAGTCGTAACAGCAGCTGCAGTCGCGTCAGTAGCGGCAGTGGCAAGAGAGGCAGTGAAGGTGGGTAACTGCGGGACTGTGCACCCGTGGAAGAGTGGGGGGGGCACAGCACCAGAGGCGGCAGCTACCGAGCGAAGGTTGCTCTCGACGTCCTTGAGCGCAGACTCAAGGACCTCAACTGTCAGCTCACTAGGGTGCTTCAGCAGGAGCGCGTCACGTACGGAGGCAAGGCGGTCAGGGAGGCTAGTGGCGATGAAATAGATAGTAATCGCCATGGGGGGAGGAAGCAGTGCAAGCTGTGCCTCAGTGCAAGCAGCGCGGTAACTAGCGTCGAGCGAGCGGAGGTGAGCGATCAAGTCAGCAGAGCGCTCAAACGAGGCGAGATCAGGAAACAGGAACGGGAGGAAAAGACGGCCAAGAGAGACAGTAGCGGGAGTAGAGTAGCGGGCCTTAATCGCAGTGAGGTACGCAGCAGCGGTGCGAACCTGAGTGAAGTGGACCTCCTCTGACTCAGGGAGGAGGCTGCTGAGTGCGATGCAGGCCGCAGCGTCACGCGACGTCCAAGCCGTCCTGTCAGCGCGCTGACGGGCAAAGCGAGCCGTAGCAGCATCGTCAGGGGCAGGACCTAAAGCGGCAGGCTCGGGGGGCTCGGGGAGGTCACCAGTAGCGTGCGACCAGAGGGTCTCGCCCCCCTGGACTTGACTCTCTAACAGACGGCGAGCGCGAAGGAGCCAGACGGAAAAGTCAAGAGGTCTGCCGTCAGCGTCGAAACGAAGAACTCGCGGAGTCGCCATAGCGAAAACTAACGCGAACGAGCAGGCGAGTAACAGCAGGAGGTAAGAGGCAAATTAGGGTTCAGGTGGGACTTAGTCGCAGCGGAAGAGCGGGCTAGAGCGACGGGCCAGGGCGTAGGGTCGACGGGACGGGGGAAAGGGCGGGCACGATGCGACGGGGCAGGGCGACGCGACGGGGGAGGGCGACGCGACGGGGTAGGGAGACGGGACGGGGCGACGGGACGGGACGGGGCAGGGCCGCGGGACGGGACGGGACGGGGACGGGACGGGGCAGGGGCGACGGGACGGGACGGGGACGGGACGGGGCAGGGGCGACGGGACGGGACGGGGCGACGGGACGGGACGGGGCAGGGCGACGGGACGGGGCAGGGGCAACGGGACGGGGCAGGGCGACGTGACGGGGGGAAAGGGCGCGACGCGACGGTGGGAAAGGGCGCGACGCGACGGGGGGAAAGAGCGCGACGCGACGGGGGGAAAGGGCGCGACTCGACGGGGGGGAACGGGCGCGACGCAACGGGGGAAAAGGGCGCGACGTGACGGGGGGGAAAGGGCGCTAGGCGACGGGGGGAAGGGCGCTAGGCTCGGCACTAGGCGCGGTAACAACGGAACCGGTACGAACGAGAGGTAGGATCAGGCTCGGGAGATACGAACGGAGAACGGAGGAACGGGATCCTAACTGATACCATGTCAGAATGAGGAATGGATGATGCATTGATGTTGGTTGGGGTACATATAGCTAACCCTAAGTTTTGTACCCCCTAAGACAAACCTCACTATAGGCTACAACATTTGACAGCGACATCAATGCTGTCTGGTGCCTGCACCGCGCGAAAGGTGTGGCCACTGACCCACCCACCACTGACCCACCACTGACCCGCCACTGACCCGCCACTGACCCACCACTGACCCGCCACTGACCCGCCACTGACCCTCCACTGACCCACCACTGATCCTGTTCCTGGTTGAAGACTTTCTGATGCTACTCTACAGTGCTTGCAAACCAGTACGCAACTCGTCGTCTCTACACTCCATGGGTTTGGGTGGGTCCTTTTTGAAAGGAGGAATGATGGCGACAGCAATGCCATCCAGTGCCAGCACAGGCCGGGGGGAGGCCTCTTCCCCTGATGCTGCTGCGCCTGGTGTGACTCGCGGCTCTTTGAACGCCTTGGAGGCAAACGTGACTCTGGGGAGGTGTGGGATGGGGATGGGGTAAGGGGAAGGTATGGGGAAAGGCATGGGAAGATGCATTGAACGCCTTGAATGCAAACGCAACCATTGAGGAGGTGAGGATGGGGACGGGAGATGGGCAAAGGCATGGAGGAGGGAATAAAGGAAGGGGTGTGCGAGGACCCGCACACACATACCTGAAGCCACTGTGTGTAGAACGCACATACATGTATGTGTCGGTAGAACGCACATACATGTATGTGTTGGTAGAACGCACATACATGTATGTGTCGGTAGAACGCACATACATGTATGTGTCGGTAGAACGCACATACATGTATGTGTCGGTAGAACACCGCTGTGGCAGTCACCTGCTCGCCCACGCACACAGCCACGCACACACACACACACACAAATAAACCCCCACTCACAGCCACACACTCACCCTCTCTCACACACACACACCTGAGTTGGTGCCGGTATGCCACTACAGAGAGGGGCTTCACCTGCACTTGCTGTCACCTGCTCGAGTTGAGTCAATTGCCGCTCCTGCTTATCCCTTCAAAGCGCTCTAAAGTCAACTGAGCTGGTGGCGGTATGCCACTACAGAGAGGGGCTTCTGCACTCGCTGTCACCTGCTCGCGCACATGCACAGCTGAAAGCACACAGAGCCTTACTCACAGCCACACATACGTGCACCCTCTCTCTCACATGCACCTGAATCTTTGACGGTGTGCCGCCACAAAAATGGCTTCCACATTGGCCGTCACCTGCTCGCCAACATGCACCCCCTTACACTCTCATACTTGAATCTTTGTCGGTGTGCCGCCAAAAACATGGCTTCCGCTGTGGCAGTCACCTGCTCGCCCACATGCACGGGGAAGCACAGATGCAACCCCTTCCTCCTTTTCACACACACACACCCCACCCACCTGAATCTGTGCCGGTGTGCCACCACTGATATGGCCTCTACTGTCACCTGCTCGCCCACATGCAAGGGGGTGCACACACAAACAGGGCCTCACCCCCACCCACCTGAATGTGCCGGTGTGCCACCACTGATATGGCCTCTACTGTCACCTGCTCGCCCACATGCAAGGGGGTGCACACACAAACAGGGCCTCACCCCCACCCACTGATATGGCCTCCACTGTCGCAGTCACCTGCTCGCCCACATGCACATGCATGGTAGCGCACTCACAACCACACACACACACACCCCCACCCACCTGATCCTGTGCTGTGCCGGTGTGCCACCACTGAAATCGCCTCTACTGTCGCCGTCACCTCCTCGCCCACGTGCACATGCATGGCAACCCACAAACACACAAACAAACCCTCATTCACACCCACGCACGCACCCCCCCCCCCCACCTGAATCTGTGCCGGTGTGCCACCACTGAAATCGCCTCCACTGTCGCTGTCACTTGCTCGCCCACATGCACGGGCGCTAGAAAGCGAAGCGTCTGCGACACGTAGATGGCACCGGGCTGTCAGGTGCACAAAAGAGGGAGGGTGCATGACACGAAAGACGGGGGAGTTGGAGCGGGGTGGGAGTGCATGACACGAGAGGTGGTCACTCGCCCGCCCGCCTGCTCGCCCACTTGCACGGGCGCCAGGAAGCGCAGCGTCTGCGAGACGTAGATGGCACCGGGCTGCCAGGCACGAGGGGAGGAGAGAAGATGTGGTGGGGAGGGTTGGGTTAGGGGGGTGTTGGAGGCGGGTTAAGGTTGCAGGGCTGTAAGCTGCTCTCCTGCTCGCCCACTTGCACGGGCGCCAGGAAGCGCAGCGTCTGAGACACGTAGATGGCACCTACGTGCACGGTGTTTTGCAATCAGAGCGGGAAACAACCTGACCGCCGAGATCCAAGCACCTGACCCCACTCACACTCACACCACTCACACCACTCACACCACTCACACCACTCACACCACTCACACCACTCACACTTGCCACCTGCCGCCGCCTCCAAGCTTTGAGAGACAGGCGACGCGACGAGAGCATCAGAGTGACACGAGCAACCAACCAACCAACCAACGCACGTGGTGTTTCGCGATGAGCGCGGGGAATAGGCTCGCCGCCAGGATCCCGTGCACCACGCACCCGACCCCTCCAAGCTTAGATACAGGTGATCAGAGGAGCATCAAAGCTTAGTCACGAGCAACCAATGAACATACATGGTGTTTCGCGATGAGCGCGGGGAACAGGCTAGCCGCCAGGATCCCGTGCACCACGCACTCCGCGAATCCCGCCGCCTCCGCCGCGCGCGCGTCGAGGTGGATAGGGTTCAGGTCGCCCGTCATGTGCGCGAACGCTGCCACCTCAGCAGCCGTGAACGCGTGCGCCGTCGTCCACTGCTCGCCCGTGAAAACCGGCGGCGGCGCGTGCGCGCGCGTGTTTATCCGCCTTGCGCCCGTCGCAAGATCGCCAAAAATCCCGCCGGGAATTCCGCCGTAAATGCCGCCGGAGATGCCGCTGTTACTAGCGCCTCTACTGCAGCTGATGGCGCTCCTACCTAAGCCTTCAAAGTGCGCCGAGCCGCTCTCGCCACCTCGATCCCCTTGGGGAAAGGATCCTGAAATGGTACCTACATCAATCCCTGTATAAGCATCTCCGTTATAAGGAGTTTCTGCGTAAGAAAATCCTGTACAAGGTCCTAAAGCTGGTTCTAAATGGCCAAGCGAGTGGAGGGAGAAATTCCTTGTGAAGAGCCGAAGAGCGGGAGAACCGTGAGAACGAGCCGTTTGGGCTAGCCGCGACGCCATTGGCGCGTTTTTTCGCGATTGCCCACGTGGAATCTCGTCACAGGAAGCGGGGAAAACGGCTAGCTACCGTCTCATGTTAGACACATGAAAACAGCCAACTATTAGAACCAGCAGGAATACGAAGCAATAACGCACGGGGGAGCAAATAACCACGACTGCTCCGATCTAGCGGAATAACGCACCAACTTCGCCAGCCACGAGGACATTGGTTTTGCACAGAAAATATCTTTTGTGATGCAACTTTTTCAGCCTAGAATCTGCCGCGACGCGCTACCACTGTAGGTGCAGGTGATGGGAAGCATCAATTGGCCGTGGCTGCGGGTCTCGAAGAGCGCCGCACAGAACCGCACGCCAACGCACCAGAGTGGAATCTGAAGTGAAAATATGGATTAAAATTAGATCGAACCATCTTATTCAGCATAACCATTTGGCACCACCTCACTATCTAGTCTAGACTCTAGCACCACAGAATGCGGCAAAATAAGGTAAGAAGATACTAGTGCCATGTATGAATCAGATCCCAGCAAAAAGTGCGAAGATGTCACCACTGACGTAGTCGTTGTCAACGACACTGACAAGGTAATAGGTGTCGTGGATCTGCACAAGCCGAGACACGAAAGGAAACAATGATACGGGTACATTGACAAAAATAATGAGTCATCGTAAAGCTATAACCCGGAAAACACACATCACCTCAACTCACCCCCTATTGCCTCGTGTTGCCTTATATGACCTCATACCACCTCATATCACCAGTAGTCACATCCTATTTAGCGCGAACACCTTGTACCACCCCCTTACACACCCTCCAAGCCTACCGGTACTCTACCTGCAATCACCCCACCTGACCTCACCCTCCCCCCACCCCACTTGACCTCACTCAGCTCCCCTCACTCCACTTGATCCCACCCACGCCTTCCCTCACTTTACCTGCACCATGTTCCCCCCAACCCCTCCTCACTTCCTGAATACATCCCTCATACCCTGTAGACCGTCCCTCACTCCTACTGGACCACCACCCCACCACCTCTTCTCACTCCCTGCACCCACCTCTCCTCACCTCCTTCAACCGCCCTTCACCACATCCACCCGTTCCATCCTCACCACATGCGGCAATTTCCACTCTCACACCTGCACCCCTTCTCACCTACTTCAACTGTCCCTCACCTCTTGCATCCATCCCTCCCCCCCTCACCCCATGCGCGCGTCTCTCACTCACCTCTTGTAGCAGTTTCATAGCCACCGGCGTGCCCTCATCCCCGTCCTTGTAAAGCCCTTCTTTCTTCCCAAACCCCACTCCTTCGCACATACTTCAACCATCCCGCACCCTTTAAAACCATCCCTCGCCTATGCACCCCATCATCCCCATCATCCTCGCCTTGTCCCATGCACTCTTCCCGCACTCACCTCTTGCAGCAGTTTCTTAGCGACCGGAGTCCCTTCATCCTCCTCCTTGTAAAGCCCAGCCCAATCCTCCACCCACGCGCCGAACGCCTCGTCCTTCCACGCCAGGAACGACATGAAATCCGCCACCGTCGGCTGCACCACCTCCCTCTCTTGCCCTCGCTCTTTCACTCTAACCGCCTTTCCACACACCACACCCACACCCCTCCTCACCTCATTCAACCTTTCCTCACCTCTTGCAGCAGTTTCTTAGCAACGGGCGTGCCCTCCTCCTCCTCCTCCTTGTAAAGCCCAGCCCAATCCTCCACCCACGCGCCGAACGCCTCGTCCTTCCACGCCAGGAACGACATGAAATCCGCCACCGTCGGCTGCACCACCTCCCTCCCCTTGCCCTCGCTCCTTCACTCTAAACGCTCCACCGAAGACCACACCCACACCCTCCTCACCTCATTCAACCGTTCCTCATCTCGTGTGCCGTCCTGCCCTCACCTCTTGGAGGAGTTTCTTAGCAACGGGCGTGCCCTCCTCCTCCTCCTCCTTGTACAGCCCAGCCCAATCCTCCACCCACGCACCAAACGCCTCATCCTTCCACGCCAGGAACGACATGAAATCCGCCACCGTCGGCTGCACCACCTCCCTCCCCGGAAACACCCCCCACGTGACCGCGTTGGCAGAGAACGGTGTGGTGGACGCGGGTGTGCCAGGGCCAGTGGCGAGCACGTGACCGGAGGAGCTGACAGCCATGAGGGAGATGGAGGGCGTGGCTTTGGCCTTCTCGAGCAACGTGGTGACCTTGTCGTGCGGGGCGAAGCATTCGATGTATGCCTTCTGGTAGATGTACCCCCCAGGGCCTCCCCAGCCTGGAGGGAAACACGGCAGGGCGTAAGCGGGCCCACAGGGGACACAAAGCAGGGAGAAGGGGATTGAAGAATGGTATGAGGCAGAGAACGGTGTGGTGGACGCGGGCGTGCCGGGGCCAGTGGCGAGCACGTGACTGGAGGAGCTGACATCCATGAGGGAGATGGAGGGCGTGGCTTTGGCCTTCTCGAGCAGCGTAGTGACCTTGTCGTGTGGAGCAAAGCATTCGACGTAAGCCTTCTGGTAAATGTATCCCCCTGGCCCTCCCCAGCCTGTATGGAATCACGGGGCCAACACATGAAGAGCATGGGGGGAATGGGGAGAATGGTGAGGCAGAGGGGCAGACATGGGAGGGCAGCAAGCACGGGGGTTGGCGGTGGCGAGCACGTGACTGGAGGAGCTGACAGCCATGAGGGAGATGGAGGGCGTGGCCTTGGCCTTCTCGAGCAACGTAGTAACCTTGTCGTGCGGGGCGAAGCATTCCACATATGCCTTCTGGTAGATGTACCCTCCGGGGCCACACCAGCCTGGGTATCGGCGAAACAGAGATATACAGAGATATACAGAGATATACAGAGGGAGGTCACACATGGAGTGGGGAAAAGAGCAGGTTTTGCACCATTGATTGACAGCAGAGTGTGAGTACAGCAGGGTGTCAGTGAACTAAGTTGGAGGAGTGGCCCACCTCCACTGCCTCACTCATAGCCAAGCCTTCTGCTTGTGTGACCACACACCCACCGAGAACAGGGTCGTCTGACTTGGCTCCATTCACAGCGGGCTGGCTGTTGATGGTGAGCAGACCAGCGGCGTTCAGCTCGTGCAGCTGAGCGCTGATGGGGGCCGAATCAGCAGAGAGGGAGGCCTCCGTTTTTTAGGCGCCTTACTCTACAAGGGCAGTCTCCACACACTCACCAAGCACAGGGTCGTCTGACTTGGCTCCATTCACAGCCGGCTGGCTGTTGATGGTGAGCAGACCAGCAGCGTTCAGCTCGTGCAGCTGAGCGCTGATGGGGGCCGAGTCCGCGGAAATTGAGGCCTCCACCGCCTCGCTCCAGGGGAAGCTGCTCACCTCGCCACTCACAAACCGAGCAAACAGCTGCACGGGGGAGGGGGGGAAGACCGAGAGGGGGAAGGGGAGGATAAGATACAAATTGAAGTGGCAGTGGGGGTCGAGTCTGCGGAAATTGAGGCCTCCACCGCCTCGCTCCAGCGGAAGCTGCTCACCTCGCCACTCACAAACCGAGCAAAGAGTTGTGGGGGACAAACGGTGGCAGGAGGGAAAATGAAGGTGTATGATAGAGTGCGATAAGTATGTGAGTATCAGTTGTGCGTGCGCTCCTCTGGAACACAGCAGCACGTCTACTGCCTCTGCAAGGGTGAACCGAAGACATGCAGAATCCTTGCCAGCTGCCCAGCCCATCCCATGCCCTTCTCTTGTCTCACCCCCACCCCTCTCACCTGCTTCACATCTTCAGTCGACGCAACAGGGACAGCCCAGTCCCTGGCGAGTGCAGTGGCCCGCGACTTTCTCTTGAGGAACGCCCTGTGCTTGGCAGGCAGGTCACTATAGGACAGCGCCTCTGCAGGGCCCAGGCGGCCAGAGGGGAACTTGGTCCATGCTGCTGTGCGCACCAGGTAGCTCTGGGGGCGCAGGGACCTAGTGCGGTTTGGATGGGTATGGGGTGGGTGCAGAAGGGTATGGGATGAGTAGGGATAGGCACAGCGCCTCTGCAGGGCCCAGGAGGCCAGAGGGGAACTTGGTCCACGCTGCTGTGCGCGCCAGGTAGCTCTTGGGACACAGGGACCTGTGAGCGGTGGTGGTTGCGATGGGTGCGGGGTAGAAGATGGTGGGTATAAGGTCAGGAAGGATGGTTATGGATGGGTGCAGTTGTGCAGCATGCATGAGTTCTACCAGCAGGCCAGAGGGGAACTTGGCCCACGCTGCTGTTTGCGCCAGGTAGCTAGCTCTTGGGGCGCAGGGACCTGTGAGCGATGAAGAACGGTTGGGATGGGTATGGAAAGTACGCGCCAGGTAGCTCTTGGGGCGTAGGGACCTGCGAGCAGTGGAGAGAAGTTGGGATGGGTACGGGGTAAGAGAGGGAGGTGTATTTTGAGCCTACTCAGAATGAACAACGCTCTCTCCTGTTTACGCCTCCTGGCCATGCCAACAGCTCTCACCAGTAGATGTTCCCTCGTGTGACGTGTCCTCCTGTTTACGCCTCTAGGGCGCACGTCTTCTATGCAGCGGGCCTGTGTCACCAGTACCTTCACCAGCAGATGGCACCTGGCCATGCCAGCAGCCCTCAGCAGCAGATGCGACCTGGCCGTGCCAGCAGCCTCACCAGTAGATGGGGCGCACGTCCTCTGAGGATCGGCGCACATTGGGGGACGGCCGCCAGGGCAGAGCGCGAGGGATGTTGGATGCTTCTATGAGCCCCAGGTTCTGAGGGGGGGGAGGCGGGAGGAGGGGAGGAGGGGAGGAGGAAGGAGATTCGGCAAGTTAAATCTGGAGTTAAGATAGGGATTCTGACTCGAATTAGCCGGCCATCACGGCAGCTAGCGAGGGATGTTGGTCACTTCTATGAGAGCCAAGTTCTGGGGGGGGAAGAGGGGAGAACGGGAGAGAGGAGGTAGAAGTTACAGTTAATTGAATTAGGGGAGAAAAACGGATTTGACTGATATATACGCCAGGTCATGCAACCAAGCCACGCACCCAAGCCACATATAAAAGCGGCCCATCCAAGCTATCCAACAAACCCAACTGTAAGCTGACGTTGATAATGATTTCGCCCGGATTACGCGAGAATATGTCTAGTGGACATTCCCGATCGCTCACATGTTTCCCTTGCGCATGACTGGAAGCAAACCTCAACCCAACTCCACTTCGAAAATGGCAATAGTCGTCTTGCCTGGCTGAGCGTGTACATGTGCAGGGTGGAGATGTGATGAGTGCATCATAACCTCAGCCTACCATCCAGCCCCAACCCACACCGTACCTTGAGAATGGCGATGGTGGTTTTGTCCTGGTTGAGCGTGTACATGTGCAGGGTAGAGATGCCCGCATCCAGAATGGCATCTATGTAGCACCCACCCTAGCTGCACCCACCCAAGCTGCACCCACCCTAGCTGCATGTGCGAGCCACACACCCAAGCTACCCACCCACCCCAAGTGTACCTTGAGAATGGCGATGGTGGTCTTGTCCTGGTTGAGCGTGTACATGTGCAGGGTGGAGATGCCCGCATCCAGGATGCGCCGGCACATCTCCGTGCCTTGTTGGATGCCGTACGCCCTAACAGCCTCCTCGTTGTCCTTTATCGGCTCCAACGCGTCCAGAATGCTCTGGGGGACCTGTAACGGTGGCAGGGTAAGAGAGGGTTGGAGAGAGAGAGAGACGAGATAGGGAGGAGCGTTAATGCATTATCATTCCTACCTTTTTTTGCCCCTACTTCTCTCCAGGGCTCAGGATATCATGCACACAAACACTCTCGCTCTCTCTTCCTCACACATACGCATCCACAAACTCTGTCCCCCCACCATCTCCCCAAACACACACTGAGAGAGGCCACGGGAACTCGCCTTGGTCTTGCAGAAGGCGGTCATGCGCTTGAATCCACCGTAGGTGGTGATGGGCATGATGCCCCGGATGATGGGCTCGCTCACTCCCATGGCGCGACACTCCCACTCCCACTCCCACTCCCACTCCCACTCCCACTCCCACTCCCACTCCCACTCCCACTCCCCCCCCTCCCACCCAAACAGCACGCGGGAACTCACCTTGGTCTTGCAGAAGGCGGTCATCTTCTTGAAGCCATTGTAGGTGGTGATGGGCATGATGCCCGGGATGATGGGCTCGCTCACTCCCATGGCACGGCAGTCCGCGACGAACTTGAGGAAGATGTCCACATCGTAGAACAGCTGTGTCACTATGAGGTCTGCGCCCGCGTCCATCTGGAACAGGGTGTAGGGGTTAGGGGGAGCGCGAGTGAAGGGTCTGAAGGGAAAGGGGCATTGGGGCAGTCCGCGACGAACTTGAGGAAGATGTCCACGTTGTAGAAGAGCTGTGTCCGCACCGCGTCCATCTAGAAGGGGGGTAGGGGTTAGCGGATGGGCGAGGTCAAGCACGAACTTGGGGAAGAAATCCGCACCCGCGTCCATCTGCACGAATTTGAGGGTAAAGAGTGGGAGATGGAGGCAGAACTGAAGAAAATCCGGGGGAATGGGCAGGGTTGATTGAAGCAGCTTGAGGAACATGTGCACGTCGTAGAACAGCTCATCATGGGTGAGTCGTGATGAGCTCATTATGCAGTTAGACTTTAGGCCCCATCCATGCACCATGAATTCTCCCCACCTTGGGAATCACCCCATCCATCCATCCATCCATCATGCATTTTCCCACCTTTGGACTTTGAGACCCTATCCATTCATCAAGCACTTTCCCTATCCATTCATCATGCACTTTCCCTATCCATTCATCATGCACTTTCCCTATCCATTCATCATGCACTTTCCCTATCCATTCATCATGCACTTTCCCTATCCATTCATCATGCATGTGCGCCCACCTTCGACTTGCGGCCCCATCTATCCCTCTCTTGGACTTGAGGGTCCTTCTGAGAATCTGCTACTACTGGAATTTGCTTGAGTCAACAAAGCAAGAACGTTGGAGTTCGTAACCTCTATCATACAACCATCATGCGTTCCCCCCACCTTACCTTGGACTTGAGGTGCTCCACGTCCTTCTGGTACTCCTCTGGTACTATTGAGTCAACCCAGCAAGAACGTGGGAGTGCACGCCAACCATCATGCAACCATCATGCAACCATCACCCCTTTCCCCCCCACCTCACCTTGGACTTGAGGTACTCCAGGTCCTTCTGGTACTCCTCTGGCGTAGCACCGTCAGGGCCGCTGATGGCGTCAGGGTGGGCCTCTGCGCTCACACACACACACACACATACATACATACACCATGATCGCATGCCGGGGATGCAAGGGAATGGGGGATTGGGTTTCACAACAGTCGATTCATGTCCTTTGCAGAACGTTTGCGACCAAGTCGACCCAAAAATCGAAATTAGACTTATTTGTGCACACATTGGCCACATTGCAAGGGTTTAACAGGGTTGGAGAGTGCACTCTCAGCTCAGGTACGTACTAAAGGCGTCTACGACACGCGATCCGTATGAGATTTAAACGATGAATAGGAGCAATTGCGATAATTACCGTCAAGTACTTCTACATGGGATAATGAATCTCACCTGGATATCCTGCGACAGTGATGCCGAAATAATCGCCATACTTGGCACGAATGTGCTTCACCTGCAGCAAGGAAACGAGGAAGGAAAAGCAAGGCGCGGGAAACGGTCAGCGTTGGATAGCACGAAACGAGAGTTTGTAAACGCATTCCGAAGCACAAGGCGTGTATGTCACGCGGTTTATCGTAGCACAGACGTTAGTTGGTAGCATAAACGGTAGCACACAAGGTAGCACCGACGGTAGCATTATTTGAGTCGACGTATCGCATGACTCATTAGGTCTCAAACTTACCAGGTCCAGCGCGCATGAGAATCCTCCGCGGCGACAATGCGGGAGGTTGTTCCAGAGGCCTCAATGCGTACAGTCCAATCTTACCAGGTCGAGCGCGCACGAGAAGCCGCCTTCGGCAGCGACGAACTTGTCCTGGCCGTGCGGGGGGTCGCCTCGCAGCGCGAGCACGTTCTGCAGCCCGGCCGCCTTGATGTGCTCGAGCGCGTGGTCGATGCGCTCCACAGGCATGTTGGTGCACGTCAGATGCATCGACGTCTCCACGCAGATCTGCGGATGGTGGTAAAAGGGGGTTGTGTTGGAGGAGATGAGGATAGGGAATGGGGGGTTGACTCTTGATGCGCTCGAGCGCGTGGTCGATGCGCTCCACGGGCAAGTTGGTGCACGTCAGATGCATCGACGTCTCCACGCAGATCTGCGGAGGATGGAAGGGGGGTCAGGGGAGAAACCAGGGAAGGCGTTCTATCAGTCGGCTATGGTCGATGCGCTCCACGGGCATGTTGGTGCACGCGAGATGTATGGACGCCTCCTCGGAGATCTGAGCGGGAATGGGGGGGTTAGGGTGTGGCGATGAAAACGTAAAATAGAAACGGTAATGAAGACATTCCTGAACCGATTTGACGGGAATGTTGGTGCAAATCGCGTGCATGACGTCTCCATGCAGATCTGCAGAAAAGTCTTGGGAGATCATGCACGCAAATCCGGTGTAAGATTAGCACTAACTGTGACATCTCGAACTTGCGATTTTATATTGCAAGATGGATGCATCAACGACTTTCCGGAAATCTGCTTGAAGGATGTTCGTCATGGCTGAGTGGACCATACGAAGGAATCAGGTGTTTTAAAATGCCTGAAAAGCGGTTAACAATTTGCACTACATCTGTGCTCGAGATTCACGCCAAGATGTGAGGATATGGATAGGGAGAACGACGGAAACACGGAATCAAAACAAACCGTTGAGTACGATGGCCTGAAACGAAGGGTCTAAGCATTCGGAGGAAAACGATCGGCTCTTCAGTTGAATTTTGAGTCGACTGAACATTCTATTCAGGTACTGACATTGTTCTGCATGCGAGTGGCGATCTCCAGGGTGAGATCCGCCGTCGATCCGCCTGCTCCCCACGTGATGTCGCAGAACGCAGGCTGGTACGCGACCATGCGATCCATGCGATCGAAGAGGTTCTCCACGCCATCCGCGGTCTTGGGAGGGAAGTACTCGAACGAGAATACCTTCCTTCCCTCATCTAGTGCCGCCTGAATCTTCTGCGGGATCTTCATGGCGTAACGAAAGGAGTTCCGAAAAATGACAGAAGCTTTACACGAGACAACTCCAGGGAAGACGAGGGAAACTACTAATTTAGTCTGCCTTGCAGACTAAGAGAGGGGGGTGAAAATCTGTGGTAAATCCCAAGGTACAATCCCAAGGTACAGTCCCAAGGGTAAAGTGGTGGTGATACAGTACATGTATTATTGTTGTCCTCCTGGAATGCTGGAAGGGAGATTTTTGTTCTGCTCTGAAATAGAGCAGCTGGCAAATGGTAGGCCCAGGAGGGTGGTGATTCGTGAATGAAATCTCAAGGCTTGTTGGGGCCGCTTCGCTCATGTCGTTAACAAGGGTTACACAGGTTTCGTGCCCCCTGTCCTTCATTTGCGATGACGATGACCAGATGACATCCTGGCCTCGGATTGGCGAAACCTGTGGCGGGTCATGTATTTCCTGTCAGACAGTTCCACGACACGCATTTGTGGTCGCGCGAAACCGCGCCAGAAGCCATACGGGGCGCAACGGTACTTCCCGCGAGGTACTGTTTGCTGGCACCAGTCTTGCAAAACTACAGTATTTTCAAAACCTTCATAGAAAATTATAATCTACATTACCTTAAGCGAATGAGAAGTTTCTAGGGCATCTCAGAGGCTAATATCGGAACGGAGCTTCTGTGACACGTCAACAATCCATTTTGACAAGCCCTCATTGGCTGTTCAGGATGTTCAAGCTCCTCGACGAATTGTGGCAGACCACCCCACGCCATTCATCGAGCAAATCCCCATGTATTGCGATCATATCGCGAATCATCGCGTGGTCTCAGTTACCATCTCGCTAGCCCTTACTAGGTGGCGACGACCGTGCCACGGGTCCACCAAAACGACCGCATGATTCTTCGCCAACATCGTCTCTCCTTGAGTGCAGGAGGTTTCGCCACGCGACGCCTCAAGAATCTGCCTCCACGTGTGGACCAGAATCGGGATTATGGTAGAAGAGAAGACTCTTCCGCCTCCACCAAGCTCCATCCTAGCTTTGTAGCTAATCCCCTTCTTTACCTGAATCTTTTATCAAAATCACATCACTAGCTTCCTGTTCCTGGTCTAGTCCTCACGGCCTAAGTTCTCGCAGCGACAGCGAAGCTTGTCCTCGATCAATAAGGCCCGGGACGTCTAGAATGGCTGCTCTGACCAATTGCAGCGCATCCAGGTAACACCCAGTGCAAAGTTTTCAGTAGTAATAATCGCACAACATTTTGCTAGCCTCCTCATCCCGCTGAACTGCCGCGCCATACATTCTCGATTCCTCCGTTACTCAATCTTCATGCGCAGTGTCCGGGCGGCAGGGCTCGGCGTAGCGACACCATCGAAGCTGTCGTCTGCGTCGTGCACGTCGTCCACGTCGCTCGCCTTGAGACCCCGCCAGGATGCTTCCCGGACGGCAGGCCGGCAGCATAGCAGGTGCGCTGCGACTCCTCGCACTTCTTTTTTCCTCCCGACGCTCGAAATCTTGTTCTATTTTGTATCAATATCAGAATTCTAAGCAGAAAAAGAGTATCCTCCGTTTGGGGATGCACTGTGTGTCGCTAGAGCATGTCACGTTGGTGGTGGATCCAAAGGGTTCTCTCTTCCCCCCATTCTCTCCCCCTCGCCCACTCCCCTCCCTCCCCTCTCCCCCGTTTCTCGCAAACTTGCAAAGAAACATTTTTGCTGGTTGTGTCGCCTTAGCTAGAATGGAAATATAATCAAAATCTGGAACTGGAAATTGGGGTTGCAGATTGGTGGTGGAAGCGAAGGGGAAGAAGAACAACCAGTACGCGAGAAGACTACAGCAGCAGCAGCCCTCCGTTCCGGAATTCGACCCGTCAGATGACACCCCCCGCTTCGTCCTCTTCATCAAGACTAAAGCGGTCAGTGCGAGAGGGTGTTTGCCCTAATTGCCCTTCCTGCTAAGTTCCTTATGAGTTCAGTTCATTCTACATTCCCCGTTTCGTCCCCTTCACGAATACCAACGCGGTCAGTGCGAGAGCGGATTCGCGGTGGATGCTGCTTCCGCTTTTCGGAAGCAAGGACGCGTGATCACAGGATAGATCGTGGTGTTATACGCGCACAACCCGAGTTTAGGGTTTGGTTTGTCAGTCGAAACCAATCCGTTCCATGCTATCTACAGATGAAGTAAATGAAACGAAAACGATACAGTTCGAGTTAGCCTCAGCTGCAGCTGAATATTTGATTGGCCCTTATGTTTATCCCTTCTGTTGTGCCGCAGGTGAACCGGTGGTACCCGCTCAGCGTGGTGACGGGCGGGACCGCGGCAAAGATGATGCTGGCTGTGATGCGCAACGACCTGGGGAAGAAGCTGTATGAGGGCACTCTCACACGCAACATCGCTGCTGTCGTGTACAAGGTGGGGGGGGAGGGGGGATCGCGGTTAGGTAGGGTCGGGGTTGGTTAGAAATGTGGAAGGAGCTGTATGAGGGCACGCTCACACGCAACATTGCCGCTGTTGTGTACAAGGTGGGCTGGGGGAAGAGGGCGAAGGGAGTGGGGAGGGGGGGTTAGTGCGGTTGGGTAGGGTTGCTTTGGCTGGTTCGGTGGTTGGCTGCATCCGGGTTGGCATGTGCGAGGTGGGCGGCAGTCAAGGTGATGCTGGCGGTGATGCGCAACGACCTGGGGAAGAAGCTGTATGAGGGCACTCTCACACGCAACATTGCTGTTGTGGTGTACAAGGTGGGTGGAATGCGGTTAGGTAGGGTGGAGATAGGAAGGAAATGGTCAAGTTAGGTGAGGCGACGATAATGTGGCAGTGATGTGGAACGACCCAGGAAGAAGTCGTATGAGGGCGTTCTCACGCGCAACATTGCTGCTGTGGTGTAGAAGTTGGGCCAAGGGAATGGGGTAGTGGGAGGGGCAAAGGGGGTTAGTAGTGTGACTAGTTAAGCCAAGTTCGGGAGTTGGGGCAGAAACTGTATGGGGGCACGCTCACACGCAACATTGCTGCCGTCGTGTACAAGGCTGGCCGGGGGAAGCGGGGGGTTTATGCCGTTACGTAGGGTCAAATTCGGTAAGAGATGGGCAAGAAGCTGATAGAGGGCACGCCTACCACCAATAAGGTGAAGGGACGTGGGATTATGGCTGTGAAGAGAGCAGTGGGTAACTCTCTATTAATATTTCCGTGCCACACTCACACCACACATCCCCCTGCCACAAAACCCCTGCCACAACCCTCTCAGTTACAAATTCCCCCACACACCACCATGCCACACACGCCACTGCCACACTGCCACACACACCCCTCCATACACTACCTAGCCCCACAGACAATGACGAATGCCTCTCTAGAAGTAATGCTGTGAGATTTAAAGGGACGATTAGCTTTGGTAGAGACGCCGCCCTGAGGGTCAGAACATGTTAACATCTGGAAGGTGGCAGTTGTATCAACACCTGTATGTGTGCTTGCAATTGCGGGCACTGGTGCATCATATCATTAGGAGATCTTTTTTCCCTGGTTAATCAAGGCTCGTCTGTGCCTTCTTGTTGTGTGTTTTTGTTGATTGGCTTCGTCGACTGTGTCTCAATTGCAACTGTGTCTCAATTGCAACTGTGTCTCAATTGCAACTGTGTCTCAATTGCAACTTTGTCTCAATTGCAACTGTGTCTCAATTGCAACTTTGTCTCAATTGCAACTGTGTCTCAATTGCAACTGTGTCTCAATTGCAACTGTGTCTCAATTGCAACTGTGTCTCAATTGCAACTGTGTCTCAATTGCAACTTTGTCTCAATTGCAACTGTATCTCAATTGCAACTGTGTCTCAATTGCAACTGTGTCTCAATTGCAACTGTGTCTCAATTGCAACTGTGTCTCAATTGCAACTTTGTCTCAATTGCCACTGTGTGTCGCAATGAGCAGGATGAGAAGGCTCTTCGCAACGCTGCCTTGAGACAATACCCGATGCTCAAGGGCGCATCGGGATACGACTATGGCTACAAAGTCATGGTGAGTGCTGCGTGTGCTTCTTTATGGTGTGCTGGGGAATGCATGGAATAGAAGCAACCATCATGTTTAAGTTGTACCCTTTAAGGACAGGTGCTTACTCTAAGCCCTATTGCGCCTGCTCCAAGCGCTTCTTGGAAAGGCTGTCACCATGGCTGACATGTCTGACTTGACACACGGATTCTATCAAAGATCTGATTGACACACGGATGGTCAAGGAGGATTTTACTTTCCCTGATGTGCTATGCTTGCTTCTGTTCTGAGAGTTTTCAGAAGTGACTCTTGCATGCCTGCTTCTGTCTCTCCGCCCTCTGCTGCTCTCTGATCTCAGGATCCTGCGAATCCACGAGCTGCGATGTACGGCTCGGATGTTGTGAAGGTGAGAAAGTCCCTCTGGGATACTATAGTCAGCTTATTTGGCTTTAAGTGCCTCGTGTAACACGAGCTGCAATGTACGGCTCGGATGTTGTGAAGGTGAGCAAGCACTGGAATCTTGTTGCGAGCTTGTTTAGGGTGCCTGCCTCTTGTATCACGAGCTGTTATGAGTGGCTCGGATGCTGTGAATATGAGTGAGCAACGACTTGTTGATGTAAGCTTGTTTGGGGTGCCTGTAACATGAGTAGTTACGTGTCGTGGAGCAGGCAGGGGAGCTCGAGCAGCTACCTTCCATCAACTGATGCTTTCCTCGTTCATTGGTTTCAAAATATGATATATTCTAGGCCTTGGGTTCTGTGCAGCTAAATCTATATCTTTGTCCATCAGTCATATCGCCCCTCCCCTGCCGCACAGACTGATGTCACCAGTTGAAGAGCTTGAGTTTGTATTTGACAAGGCCAACATGGTGGATGGAAAAAGATCGCCTAGGTGCCTGTTAGGAAAGACCGCGTATTTCTCTCGTTCTCCCTCAATTATTTTTCTTTCCCCAACAGATGCCGCCAGAGGCAGAGCTCAAGTCGGTGTTTGACAAGGCCAAGGAGTTTGTGGATGATAAATTCGGGAATGCCAAAGAGGCCTTCGGCAAGCTCTCCTCCATCGGCAGCCTAAGCCCGCCGGAGGAGGCACCAAAAGCATCGGATGCCAACAAGAGTGCACCCAAGTGATTTGTGAATGATATTTGCATAGTACAATGGTTGTCTGCTCGAGGGAAAGTTTAATTTAGTTTGTTTGCTTTTTGAAATGTCTTGAAGATTTTACCTAATACAGAATTAGGTTTCATAACCAGAGCAGGGCCAATTTTTGGTTTTGGCCAACTCTTACGGCCAGTGTAGCTCATACGCAAAAACCTTATAATCAGAGTAGCTCACTTGGAAATTCCTGATCGGTCAGGGATTTTACAGGTTTTGAAATTTTTACCCTGGCTCATCAGTGTAACAATTTTTTGCGCCCTTGTTGAAATTGTTTCAATACAGCGCCTTTCACATTATCAATACACCACTTTCGTGCCACCACACGTTGTGTCGTTACGAACTGTACAGTCGCGACAGTTGGCATAGGGGATTCCGAGGTTTCGGGGAAGGGGGGGTTAGGGAAGGCGGGGGGGGCCTGGAACTCGCGTCGGGATGATATACCTCAGCGGACGAAAAATGCCGCCCAATTTCGCGGTTCAAAAGGGACAAGGCCCCCCCTCGGGATTGACGACCTCCCGACGACCTCCGAGCTCCCAGACGGGCCCAAATGGCGTCCCAGGGGCCTCGGGAGCCCTCGGGATTGTCGACAATCCGACGACACCCGTTTGCGCTGGGAGATTCCTGAGAAGGAAATCTCAGCGGACAAAATTCGCCACGTCGAGCCGCGGATGCCTCCACGCGGACCAATAGGGAGGTGCGAGACCCGCCCCACCGATTACAAGGCTGCCACGACGTGGGCGTCGTGGCCACGCGTCGCTCTAGCGGTGCAAACCCACGCGGCGCAAATCGGACCGTCCACATCTTCACTGTCTTGTGGCATCGCGGGTTGCCAGGGAAGTCGGTGTCGACCAGATCCATGTCTGCTTGCCTTAATTTCTTCACTGGGGCGCCAATGGCGGTCGCAAGCCGCGTAACGCACGCCCATTCCGACGTGGAATGGCACTGGCTTACGCCCCTTCCGTGCAGCGCGGCGCCCAACTAGCCATGCCTGGCACGTGCCACGTCGGACAGTGCGCCGCCTTTACGAGAACACATGCACGGCGGCGGATGCATTGGGGTGTGCGTGACGCGCGGCAGCATCGTAGTCGCTCAGGACCATACCCGTCCGTTGCCCCGCGAGCCTGCTCATTCGCTTGTCCGTTCCTGCGTTCCTTCCTGCTCTCTCGTTCCCTTGGAATTTTCAGCTGCCAGTCTGTCATCGCGCCTGTAGGTTGCTCGACAGCCGATTGTTCGTCCAAGTCGGCACAGGTTCCACGTCGCGAGTCGACGTAGCAAGTCGGCGACGCATGGCCAGAGGTCGCCCGAGGGCCCAACAGCCGCAACCCATCCCACCCCCCGCCGACTCGGTAGACGCCGACATCAAGGCGCAGCTGGAACAGCTTGAACTCGAAGCCGAGCTAGACGCGCTTGAGCGAGAATTCGAAGAAGACGAAGACCGCCTGACGCTTCGCGCGTTCGCCGCACCCGTCACACAGTACCGTCTCTGGTTTACCACCCCCCGCGATCTCGAGGTCGACGCCGAGATAGACGTTATTGAGGGACATCTCGAGGACGACCGCCGCGCAACTGTTCGGGCGTACACCGCACCCGTGACTCAGTACCGGCAGTGGTTTAACAACCTCCCCAACGCACACGGACGACGGTAGAGCAGCAGACGTGTACCGACATGGCCGACGTCGACATGTCCGACGCTAGGCCATCCACCGACCAGGGTCCGACGACCACCGACCGCAGTCCGACATCCACCGACCACAGTCCGACACCTACCGACGAAGACAACCTGCAGTTACTCTACGATCTGGACAAGCTGACGCAGATCCCAGAAGGGGTGTTCACCACGGACGTTCCGCCACCGCCGATAGGGAAGTTCAACAAGAAGAAAAAACAGACTCCTACGCAAAATGGTCGGCCAGGTACCTCGTCGGCACCGGCCGCCCCTGGAAACCAGGTCGATGACGAGGACGCGGAGGAGGAGGGGGGGGAGGAGGAGGAGGAGGAGGAGGAGGAGGAGGAGGAGGAGGAGGAGGAGGAGGAGGAGGAGGAGGAGGAGGAGGAAAGCGATGACGAAAACGACGACCGTCCACCTCGTAGCTCTAATCCGCGCACCTTGGACGAACGACTCAGGCGGGAACTGCAATTCATCGACATACTGCTCGACCAGGACGAGGACGAGGACCAGGAGAACTTGGCGGTGCCGCGCGAACAGTGGAGAGCGGCAGACTTCGTCGAGGAGGACATGGTTTACGCGTGCGTAGACGTGCTCGTCATGGACGCTCTTCGCCACCTGCAAACCGTGGAGAGGAACAGCACGCTGAGGCAGTACACCTCGTGGATCTATCACTACAAGAGGTGGGCGGCGAAGATGTTGAAGCAAATTCGCAACAAGCTTCCGCAGGAGTACAGGCTTAAGCACGTCGACGAGATAGGGCACTACATCCGGGAGAACAAGAAGAAAAACTGGGACCAAGAGGCCGATGTCCCCCGGTCTCACGTGTGGCTGCACGGCCCTAGGGTCACCAAGGACCGGCTTCGCGCATACGTGAAGTACATGATTCGGGAGTTGAACCTCGATGCCGAGTCCGGCAAGGGGGCCGACAACGCCACAGGAACACAGCCGGTGCAGTCGACAACGGTACACACGCTCCTCGGGCGCATAAAGGCATGCCAGATGGCGGCGAGAGTGGAGGCGACGCTCTTCCGGGAGACGGAACTGAGCATCATGAGGGAGATATCGGTGGTCAGGTCGGAGGTGCGGTACATGATCCGCACCAAGAACGAGCGGGACATCAAGTGAGTTTATGTTTTAACCTACGTCGACCACTCTCCTGCTGTCATGATCTTTGTCGACGCCGCCCTAAATACCCCTTGCCCATGGCATTGTTGGCAGGAACTGCGCCGATCGCCGTCGCGGAACCATCGGCGATACCTACACCGCCGAACAGTTCCGCCAGATCATGTTCAGGGTGCTGCCGGCGTGGGCGGCCAAGGCGTGGAACCCGCGGGGTACGGGTCCTTCGCAGACGCTGTGGAGGTTTCTTCTCTTGAAGGTGCTCACGCTACTCTCCCACCACTCTCTCCTGCGCGGTGCAAGCATCCGCGAGATCACTCTCCCCGACATCTTCTTGTACCGACTGGCGAGCACCTCCTCGATCAACCCGGAGAACCAGCCGGTCGTCATGGTCATCGGAGCGCGGAACTCGAAGACGTCCAAGGATGCTCGTCTGCAGCAGAGCTACGCCGCGCGGCACCTCGAAGCGGAGTTGTGCGCCGTCGGCGAGACGGGCCTGTGGTTGCACTTCGTCCTCGATCAGATCGGTCAGTTTCACGGCGTCCGCCTCATTCCGCCGGTCGACACCAGCACACGCGCTAGCTGGTACAAGAAACACCTGTTCTTCGCCAAAAACGACACCGACCAGGGTGAGCTCTCTGCGGCAACCCACCAACGCTGGACGCGGCAGTTGTGGGACACCAACAAGGTGTTCTGCAAGAGGAACGTGCACGCCGCTCGAGCGGGCGGGGCCCAGGAGCTGGCTATCGACGGCACGCCGCGCGCCGAGATCGCGGAGCTTGGACACTGGGCTCTCGACAAGATGACGCGAGCGTACATCACCGCCATTCCGGTGGGGGTGGTGATGAAGAAGGCCGGGTACTCGGGGTACAAGCAGGACTACTTCTTGGGTCGGAGCAGGGTGCCGCCCTCCGAGAAGCTCCTGAAGCTCCTCGCCGAGCACATATTCCCCGGCGTCGACGACATGCTGAAGGAGGTATGTTAGTCGACGCCCTCGTAGCTTGCCGCCGAGTCGTGTTGCCGACCTTTTCTGAGCTCATCGTACCTGTGACAAATGGCAGGCGGAAGGGAAGGCTGTCGAGGGGTCAGACGCCGACAAAGCCGCGGTGCACTTCTGGCGCACTCTCCTGATGCTGCGCCGCATCGTCGCCGAGGACCTAGCGGTGAAGCTAGTCCGCACACCATGGCACCCGTACGTCCAAGGTTCCAAGCTCTGCCGGATCCCCCTCTTCCAGCACTGGGCGAAACGGGTGGAGAGCGTCGACACCGAGACGATCAACAAGCGTCGGGACCCGACCCAAATACAGCCAGAGGTAAGTCGACGATACTGTCGCCGACGTGCAGTAGGGAGTGTAAACCAAACCACCGCGGCCCTCACGTTTTTCTCCTCCTACTGCTGCAGGAAATCTCGGTGCGCATGGACACCGAGTACTACAACATGTCCCTCATGGCCCAGATGCAGAAGGAGAAAGAGCGCGCCGCGAACGAGAAGATTGATCTCCTAGAGGAGATCGAGAAGCGCGACGACGCCATCGCTGGGCTCACCGCCGAGCTAGCCCGTGTCACCGAGGCACTCCGCTTGTCGGAAGCACGGAGAGTGCCGGTGGCCCCGCCGTCGGCTCCCGCGCAGACTCCCAGCGATGGTGGATCGGCGGAGTCGGCCAGCACGGGGGCTGGAGCCAAGAAAGGGGATGACAAACCCCCGCCCCCCCCACAGACGGACGAGGAGGCCAGTTACGAGCTCAACGTGGTGCAACCGTGGCGGGAGGCAAAGACTGTGAGGGACGCTTGGCGCCTATGGAATTCCGCCACCGCCAATGACACCCGTCGCCTTTGCGACAGGGTCGCCGAGAAGGGATTCGTCGCCCGCCACACCCTCCTCACAGGAAAGGGCGCGACGCAGGGTGGGCTCGACACGAAAGTGCGACGCATGATGAGGGCCATGGATGCGGTGCGCCAGCTACGCGCGAGCGACGGCGACGCCGACACCGAGGCCGTGGTCGACGCACTGAACAGGATCGCGGCACCGGGCATTGGGACCTTCTGTGACGCCCTCACGGTGCTCAACCCGAAAACGGAACCGATGAAGTCGAAAGAGCCTGGCATGGGAGTCAAGGGGCTGGGCCCCAAGGTTGTCTCTAAGCTTCGCCTCGCCTGTGGGCTTGTCGCGCTCAATCTGAAGCCGGCCGAATGGCTCGAAGCCCTCTTTCCAGACACCTGGGAGGAGCAGATGCCGAAGACCAAGGCCGACCTGGCGAAGCCGACCGCACCTGCCAAGTCGACAGCACCGGCCAAGCCGACCGCACCCGTGCAGCGTCCTCCGACCAAGCGCAAGAAGACGGCATGAAGTCCCTCATGGGATATGCGTCTGCGTAGATTTTGGCAGACTTCAACAGCCCCCCCCCCCCCCCCCCCCCCCCCCCCCCCCCCCATCCGACTGATGTTTCTGGTAGTTTGTAAACATCCCACATCAATGTCCATGCGAACCGATGTTGCCGATGTTGGTTGTTTGTCGCCCAGTACAGTAGGTGTGGCTAAAAATCACTGTCGACGCCGACAACCATGTTTCTGCACTGCTTATCGCCGACGTATCATGTGCATATCATGTCGACATATGCACAGGGACACAGAGTTGTTAGCCCAATATTGAAACGAACAGCACTTGAACAAAAAAAGGCCACATTTAACAAATCTACGCCAAAATCGGCGCCGTCCATACCAATATAGTACACACCCTAGCAACCTAGCAAACATCATTCCGCCGACTACGCATCCGTACTACCTCTTCCTCTTGCTGCCCTTGGCCTGCTTGACCTTCTCCCCCTTCCTCCCCCTGTGATCCAAGTCGTACTCCATCTTCGCGTCACACGGCACATCGATGCCCTCCGCTTTGAGCTTGGGCCCGTCGAGGGGGCACATTCCCCAGAACGCCAAGGTCTCGACCGTCGCTCTTGCGATCATGTCGGCCTCGTCTTCCTCAATGCCCGCCTCGAAGGCCCTGGCCACTCCATAGCGCTGCAGCTCTGGCGCGACGTTATGTGCAACCTCCCCCGCGGGAGCCTGCCGAGTGCGTGCGTGTTCGATAACCACGTGCATGACCATCGCGAAGTGCTCGCCCCTCTCCTTCCCCGCACCTGCCAGAATCGCGGCCGCCTTACCTTCGCCCACAGCACCGAGCACCGACGCCGGCGTCGACATGTAGCACCAGAGGGCGCATGCAGAGGCCGCTAACGCCTGGGCCCCCATCTGCACCTTCTCGTCCGCCTTCCTGTCCGCGCCTTCCATATCCGTCGTCTCTCCCGCGGTCGCCTCCGCGCTCCCGTCGACCTTCCCATACGCGACTCTCGCCGCGACCTTTCCATACGCCGCGCACATCGACACGCGATTCACCATCGCCGACATGTTTGCATTTGTCTCCGCCCTGCCTTCCTCCGTGTCCTCGATGATGGGGAACCACATCGCCGGCCAGAGCACGCCATGAAGCGCATCACCCGAACCTGCGTACCCACGGAACCTGCCGAGTATGTCGTCGAACCTGCCGAGCGAACACGTACACATAGAATTAATGACACCGACTTGGTCGTCAAAACACGGCATGTCGGTAACCGACTTACCTTGCTCTCGGATGGCACAAGCCTCTGGCCCACATCACCGTCCACATCCCGGTCGGCAGGATTTTGACCTCCTCCCACACCGCCTTCCATTCATCCAACTCTCCCGGCTTCAAGGCGGTGAGCTCCTTCATGAGCACCTTGCTCACGTAGCCGTCGTAGACGGAGTACGCAATCGCGTGCTCGTAGGCCAGCTCCATCTTGTCGCGGGACTTGCCGATGTACCGATTCTGGTTCTTGAACTTCATCTCGCCCACCCACCCCTGCCCGTCGCCAGACCTGTCTCGGCGGATGCCATGACCCCGGCGTCCATGCTCTTCCCCCTCCCCCACCTCCTCCTCCTCCTCCTCCTCCTTCTCCTCCTCCTCCTTCTTCTTTGCCGACTTACCCTTGCCGCCCGTCTTCCGTGCCGGCTTCTTCCCTTTGTCTTCCGCCATCTCCTTCCCCGCCGACACCGCCTTCCCTTTCCCGGTGTCGTCCTTACCCTTCCGTCCCGCATTTCCCTCGGCGACAACACCCGTTGCGGCCGTCGGCTCCGCCGAACCCCCTGTGTTGGTCGCCGACGGCTCCGCATGCGCCGTGTCCACGATGGCCAGTGCCGGGGCATGCTCGGGCCGTTTTGCTGCCTCAAACTGGGCCAGGACGGATTCGAGGGCGGCATGCCTGTCGGCGCGGCCGCCGGTGGCTAGCGCTGCACTGACTCCCCTCTCCGCCGCCAGATCGACCACAGCTGCTCCTGGGGAGGATGCGGTCGCATTTACAGCCGTCGGCGTCGCGCTTGTGCCGGGTTCCGGCTGAGTGACTGGTGGAGCTGCCGCTTTGCGTGCGCCTATATGGGCGCGAAGAAACGCGGACTTGGGGTCCGCAGGCGGTGGGGCGGCGACCGGCCGCGCGGCAGATTGGGCATCGGACGGTTTGCCGGCAACGTGCGGAGTGACGGAGCGACGTGCTATTTCTGCGAGGCCGGCGTCGACCACATGATGCTGCTGCGCGCCCGGGCGGTGGGACTCCATGCGGTGGAGCAACACCCTAAGCGCGTTACTCCCGGGTGGCCCCTGTGCCGAAGCAGCCTTCGCGTCGACCTTGGCGGCAGTAGGGGCTGCTGGAGCTGGAGGGGCCGCACGGGCCTCCCCATGCTTCCCCGCACCTGTCTGGCCGGCGGGCCCGGTGGTTGCCGCAGGCGGGTTACATGGTGTCGACTTGGTGGTTCCGGCGACCGTACCAGAAGCAGCCTTCGACTTGGTGCTTCCGGCGACCGTAGCAGAAGCAGCCTTCGACTTGCCGGTTCCGGGGACTGAAGCAGAGGCAGCCTTCGCCGTGCCGGTTCCGGCGACCGTAGCAGACGCAGACATCGCCTTGCCCTTGGCCGGCACCGCGTCAGACGGCCCCTGGGTGGTTCCGGCGCCTCCGACTTTCGCCGCCTGGGCAGTGGGGGCCGCGTCCTTCCCACCGCTCGCCTGAGGATGGGTCTGCTCGGCGTCCAAAGGCGGGCCAGGCGGTGCATCGACGTTAGCCGCGATCCCGTCGGCAGGTCTCCCGTCCGCCCCCCCGCTTCCGCTTCCCTTGCTGGTCGACCCTCCCCTCACCTTCCACCCCTTCGCCTTCAGCATGTCGACCACGCTCCGCGCAGGAGGCTTCGTGACGCGGCTCCCGTCCGATCCCTTGCTCCGCTTCGAGCTCTCCTTGTCGTCACCGTCGCCCGACCTCTTCAGGCCTTGCTTGTCGGCCGCCCTCTGTTGCGCGGCGTCGGCGTCATTGGCCGAAGGCGACGAACCACGTCGACCAGGCGCCACCGTGCCGATCATCTCGGTCAACATCTTCATCCCGGACGCAACGAACGACTGCTCGGTGGCCTCCGTCACCGTCTTCATGATGTCGGCCTTGAACGACTTCAAGAGCTCTTCCGGGAGGGCGGGCGGCGTGGGCTGAGGCGGTGGCGGCGGCTGCACGGGGAGCCTGCCGGTCACAGCTGTGGCGATGTTGACAGCTGCGGCGGACAACTGGCTCGTGATGTGCTCCCGCAAATCCTCCTGCGCATCGCCCACCACCTTGTCGACGTGGTCGGCCAAGGTGGTGACCGCTAAGGCGCGTTGATACGCCACATTTCCCTCCGGGTTGTCGAAGTCCTCCAGCCACGCCGACGCCTGTTCCGCGAAGGTCTTCATCGTCTTCCACGCCTCGTCGAAGCTGCCGGTGATGTTGCCCGTGATGGTCTGCGACATGGCCTCCGCCGCGTTTCGCAGCTGTTCCGCCGCATACTTCTCGGTGTCGTCGACCTGCTCGGCCAACTCCTTCAGGTGGTCGACGAGTCCACGTAGCCCAACAAAAAACGCGTCCAGCCGAGCCCGTTCCGCATCGAGCAAACCCTGCAGCCGAGCGTTCTCCGCCCTCAACAGCAAGTTCTCCCGTCGCAGCTCCTCGACGTCGTCCGTTGCAGGGCCCTGCCGACCAGATGCGTCCCCCGTCTCCTGCACGCCCGCGATGTTCGCACCTTCGCCGGCGTCGACCGACACCTTCGCACCTTCGCATGCCGCCTCCTCCTGGCCCGTTTCCGTCGTTGCCTCCACGCCGACCTCATCCTTTTCCTTCCCCTCACCTGCCGACCCCGTAGCATTACCCGCATCGCCATCCTCCGCTTCCTCGTTCTTCTCGTCCGCCGACCCCACCGCCTCAACCGTGCCGTCTGCGTACTCCAGCTCGTACTCCACCTCCTCCTCCACCCCTTCCTCGTGCGCCGCCTCGTCCTTCCCAGCCACCACCTCCACCACCTCGTCGTTCTCGTCCTTGCCCTCGTCATCCTCCTCGTCCTCATTCTCCTTCTCCCCTTCGTCCTCCTCCTCCCCCTCCGACTCCGACTCTGAGCCAGAGTCCGTCAACTCCTCTTCCTTCCTCCCTGCGCCTGCCGCATCGTCGCCTAGTCCTCCACCGGTTCCTCCTTCCGCGGACACCGGCAAGTCCTCCTGGAGCTGGGCGGCAGCTGCTGCTTGGGGCGCCGTCTGACTTTCCGCGCCGTCGTCATCAATCGCACCCTCGGCGGGTCCGTCGGCGCCTGAAGTCGGCGCCGCTATCCGGTTTTCGGCGACACGATGGCAGATGTAATCGACCATGCTATCACGGAGCGACCTCAAACCCGCGACCTTGATGTTCTCGATGCTCACAGCGCTCCGAGCCTTGTCGCCCGTCAGCAGGCCGATCTGCTTGGCCACCCACCCGAACGACGTCGCGGCAAGCATGCCGGTGCCGACATGCCCGTCCGACACTGTGCCCGGCACTTTCTGCATACAGCACAGGCAAGCGCGGCACAATATGAGCGGTGCACACAGATACGCGCAGACCGTAGCGGAGCCTAAACGTGCAACTCACGTCGCGGATAGGGTCGTCGCAGTCTGCAAGCCTTTCCTCCACCACTGCTTGTGATGGAGGCGCCCCGTCCCACTTCCTACCGGGACGCCCCAGCTCGGCCAGGGCAGCCGTGCGGAATAGCCTGGAGCAACGTAGTGGAGAGGAGGTCAGCATGAGATTCCCTGTGTCGGCGACTAACAAACTCGACAGCGACGACTATTCACAACTTACTTCAGGACGCGGACGGCCTCGTCGCGGTGCTTCCCCTTTCCGGTGTGCGGGTCGATGTGCCGGATCGATGTCCTGCAGACCTGTCCCTCAGCCTTCAGCACATCTCCTGGGTAGAGGATGGCTATGACGCTGCAGTGTGACCCTGGAAGCGGGCCGCCGCTGCACACGCAATAAACGACGGCGTCGACCACAGCATAAGGCGTTGATGCGGCCGACACTGAAAAACGATGACTGGACAACGGGGTAACAGCTCACGTCGATTTCAGCGGGATAGCGGCGATGTCGGCGTCGAAAGCCTTAGCAAAGCAAGAATGGTCGGCGGCTTTCATGGCCGATCGAAGCGGGCCGATCCCGAGCACCCACAACCGCAGGTCGTCCCGCCCAATGTCAAACCAAGCGAACCTGAGCGCACGAGTGAGCACGAGGGATGAGAACATGGCTGGTAAGCAAACGCTGCCATGTCGACGTGCTTCGTCAAACGCGCCCGCCGACGTACGTCGGAAGACAATCGGCGACAGTGCGCCCTACTAGGGTTGGTCGGCACCGACATCTACCCTATTCGACTACCGCGACTACCCGCGTCCCACCTGATGGCGAGTCCAAAGCATCTCTCGGTGAACTCTTTCTTTTGGTCGCGAAGGACGGCGTAGTCGTTCCACTCTAAGGTGAAGCTGAGACCGCGACCCATTTGCACCCGAAGGGGAAAGTCGGCCGATGTCGGCGCCGACTTATCGGCGGCGGAGATCGGCTCCATATCTGTCGACTAAGAAAAGAGGCGGACGGCTCTGGTAGGAGAGAGGGGAGGCGCAGAGCTGTCAATGTTTGAAAATCCGAAAGAGATGCCGAAAATGCGGAGCGAGGCCACCTTCCACAGAGAAAAGGAGGTGGTGCCCCCCCCCCCCAGGCCCGTTCAGCATCGCCCAAGGGTGCAGGGCCTGGCTCGGCAGTGCTCGGAGGGCGGATGCGCAAGTGGCACAGGTGGTCCGTCTCCGCCTTGGTAGAGCGTCGACTTCGCGTCCATTGGCCCAGGTCGGCGAGGGGACGCACGAATCCTCCTGCGCGCGGAGCGACGCTACAATCGACACGTGTCGATTTCGTAGCGGTTCGCGACGATAGAATGCATGCGATGGGAGAGAATTTATTTCCGCCTCGACAAAAATTTCGCATGCGCCCGATGCGAAGCCACGGGCGAACACGTGGCGCCACCGCTGCGAATCGCGAAATTGTCGAGTGTCCCGAGGGGGGCCCGTATTTTCGCACGGCCCTCGCCTGCCCGTCCGGGCAGGCCGCGATGGGTTACTAGGACCTCGCGGGCAGGCAGCACGTGTGGGCTGCCTTCGCGCGAGGGTAACTTTCCCTCGCGCGAGGGGTCGCCAGCTCGCCGACCCCGCCCGGTAACGTGGGTCGCTGTTCAATTTCGGAGGGCGGCGGTCGTGCGCTCGGCCCAGCCCTGGGCCAGGCTGGCGGGCCCGCACGCGCGTCAGTCGCCCGCCTCGTCAGACCCGGCTCCGACGACCCCTCCTGTCGACACTGGCAAAACCGCTCCGACGACCGAATTGCGCTGAGGCTTTCAGGGTAGAACTCGATAACGAAAAGGGTAACCCTGGGCGACAGTGTAGCATATTCGTAAGCTCTGGCACATCAGGGTAAATGGAGGTCCTGAAAAAATTACCTACCCGATCAGTGTAAGTACCTAAAAATCACCCTGTTCATCAGGGCATCAGGGTGATTTACCCTGATAAAATAGGCCCTGAACCAGGGTTAACGTGCAAGGTTGCAAGGGAGAGTTATCTTCCTTGATTTCCGTTGAATCCTGTAGTGTAGTCTGCAGTCGGCTTATTGTGGTAATGTTATATTTTATCTCAAAGCCCCTCAGCGATCCGTTGCTCAGCCTACGTTTCCTACGAAACTCCCAAGCGCCCGAGTGTCTCGCAAGCGCTTCAGTGCCACATCAAAACTTAAAACTTCAGTGCCACATCAGCTTGCCCCATAGTCAGCGCAGTAGTGTCATGAAGGTGGCTCTTTTTCCGTCTTTCCATTCGCCAAAATCCCCCTTGGGATAGAGCCACGTCACACGCATCAGAAACCCACCCCTAGAGCTACGTGGACTTCACAATTTTTGCGGCGTTGGCTCTCCAGCCAGGTGCTGGCGAATCACCCTGGAGCAAAATTGTCACCTCTGATTGGTACATTCCCTTTCCACCTCACACAGCCGCACACGCAACAGGCAGATTTTCCTAGTCCTGATTTCAAAATCGAGATGGGAGAGAGACAAGGAACAAGTGCCTCCACCCCAAGCGTTTCCTGCCTGTATGCGTTTCGGTGAGGTTCTGAAGTTGGCAGGAAGACAAATTAACGGTGAAAATAGGTGCTGCGGAGAACACCCAAGTCTCGTCACAAATACCAAGCCACCTCCTGCTGCCCCCCTGTATACAAATGATACAAAAGCCCATCCCCACTCCCTTATCTCCTCCTCGCACCCAACTTCCAGTGAACAACTCCCCGCACCGCTAGTCTTTCGAGCTTGATTGCTCGTAGGGATCTGTTCGGAAGTGTTTGCCTGTCTCCCGTGGTCCTATATGGTTCAAGATTTGAGGCTGCTGGCCAGAATGTTTCAAGATGTGAAGGGTCGAGCGCAATTATGTGGAGCGGAGATGCCGGTGCGGTCTGCGTCGTCCTGCGGCGCTCCAGCAACTCCGCTAGAACGAAACGACAGCGGATCCATCTCCCCGCGCTCCACTCTGGACTCTCAAGGTACGAGTCTGCTCGATGTTATAGCCTCTCAACCTGATCTATTCCGAATGCTTTCTAGTTGTCCCGTCATGGATGCTGTGTTAATTCCATGATTTCTAGTAGTCCCGATTCGTTATGTTTTGCATGTTGATGCTTATTGCGTGCTGTCATACTGATTCTCGTGTGCAGATGTCACCCGCGGGGTTCACCGTTCTAACGTGGTGGCAACAGAGGCTCCTGGCAGCGTTCCTCACATTACCCAGAGCATTACCATCAAGCGAACCCGCCAAGAACCGTCTCCAACCGTGCAGCACTCCCCCACATCGCGCAGTGCCCCTACAACCTCAGGTACCTTTCCAGGGTGCAGTTGTCGAAGCAACTTCACATTCCCTTTTCTCGTTTGTTGGCTCCTCATGACTGGCTGCTCGCTGTGTAGGTCTACGTGGTCGTTTCGTTCGTTCCATTGGAAGATTTCAAGTCCCATGGTTTCCAGTCTCATCGTGTTTGAACGGGGTGCCTTTCTGATGTGTTTCTTGCAGGCAATTGGTCTTTCTCAAGAATAAGACAGCCTGCAGAGCCTCTGGTGTTTGACTGGTACAACCCTCTGACCATGTAACGACTGGGTAGTTTCAGCAAGAGGGTTCAAGGCAACGTCAGCAAGCTCAAATCTCGTATCTAATGTTTAAATAAGAAGCTGCATGTAATGCTGCTCGGGCGTATCAGTGTGTAATGTGTTCATAGTACAGTTAGTGTAAAAGATGCATTTTTAAATTCTATATCAAGGCACTGCAAAGAGGTGTGCCAAGTTTGCACTTGGAAATACGTTCGTAAGCAGGTTGTGTTGATGCTAATAACATAAATGCTAGCATGCAAGGAATCCGTACTAAGAAGATATAGGTATTGGTAAAGCACACCTTCCTGGATCCACTTCAGAACCAGACCACGCATCAGATCCTTAGTCCCTGCTCCTAACTGCGACCTGTGGACACTCAGCATACTATTTTGCAGGTTCTCTCACCCAGCTCCAGCTTTCCCCCACAATGGTAGGTAGGTAGGTATGAGATTGGGTCTCAAAACCTCAAAACACCTCGCGCTTACTTCCATAATGTGATACAGGTTGTGTGGGCTTCAGCAGCATTGCACCAGGTCTCGTACGTTATGCAATCAATAGTAGCTGGAAGTCTCTTCTTAATTATTCTATACGTGTACTGGTAGTTGCTTTGCAATTCTAGTTAGCCCATTCCACAAAATACATTTATAAGGAACAACATAATTTTCGGAATCGTTACGCGATCTGACGTGGATCTCTTTGGCAGTGTAAAGATCCCCCAATCTCTGGGTACAGCTCTGTTGATTCGTCTACTTGCTGGACGTGGCACTGGCAGTTTTGCTCTTTGGGTGTTTTGCTGGGGTTGTCTGGTTTCCAGGGGCTAGGTTTGGGAAGATCCGCAATAGAGTCAACAATTCATGCCTGAAACCTCCGGACAGACATTGACGAGATTTGTATCTGAGAACACTTGTACTCAAACCTCACAAAAAAGGAACAAACCGACAGGTGAGGATCGAACCGCTGTACTCTTAGCTAAGCTCTGGAGTGCTCTCTTTGCAAATATTTCACCGAGAAATTCATAATCCGAGAAATAAAGGCCGCTGTCTTGAAGAGCCACCCCAACAACCTACATGGCATGGCGGGCATATGTTGTCACCTGGCCAACCAATCACAGCCTCCGCTGATGTTTACGTCATTGTTCCTGCCACCACACCACATCGTCAAACAACCCACCCTATCTCACAGAACGCCGCCTGTGTTTTCCAGCACCACATCGTTTTGGTCTCCTCTCCAACACTTTATTTTGGGAGGTAGATTTCTGTTCTTGGATTCTAGTCCTAGATTCCATCCTACAGCTATTCCCCATAGCAACACCATCCCGTCCTAAACAGAAAGGGACCAGTTTCAGCAGCGTATCTCTCGCTGTTGAGTCATTGCTGGTTGCTCTCTGCAGATTCTGCTGCAGCTGAGACTTCCTGTTTCATACGTCTGTCAGAACCAGGTTTGTTGACGAGCCACAATGGCAGCAGCAGCGGCGAAGGCGTTCTGGAACAGCCCTGTGGGTCCCAAGACGTCGCACTTCTGGGGTCCCTTGGCCAACTGGGGCTTCGTCATTGCGGTAAGAACGAGATCCACGAGCGTTTTAGCTTTAGGCTAGAATACTATCAGTAACTTCTAAATGTACATGCATTGTTCCTGATTGTAAGTTTACTTTACTTTCTTGTTCCGGTTGTGATTTTACTTTCCGTGCTGTTCCTTCAGGGACTAGTGGACATGCAAAAGCCGGTCGACATGATCTCGCCAAAGATGACTTCAGGTCTGTTTAAATAGCTATCACCCTCCTCCCCTCCGTCCCAGGTTTCCTGATCTTTCGGTTAGAAATCTAGGTGGCTCGAAGCGTTGCTGACAGTGGTACTGGCCCTACGTTCTCGGCGATGCCATGAAGAATTTACGATGAGAACACAGAAATGAGGAACGTGCTCGTTATTTGTAGCATTACTCCCACCGGTTTTTTCCCATCCCTTTCGCTAGGATGTTCCGTTTTTAACCCGTACTGTCAGATCAGGTCCGTGATTATCCCTCGGCTCGAGCTCTTTTCCTCCCCTCCGTCCATTCTCATAATTAATCGCGTTGCGGGCATTCGTGACGGTGGATGATAGGAATTGCGTGCTGCAAACAAAAATACTTCTTTTCTAACAACACCTGCGTATACAAAATTTCACTGGACATTGACTTGCTTAGCGTAGGCTAGTAATTTTGTCATTGTTTCAATCCCGGGCTTCTCGTCTCACCCCCCTCGATCCCCCTACCTCCTCCCCACCTCTTCACATCCACCCCCCCCCCCCCCCCCCCCCCCCCCAATTCTCTCGCCCTAAATTGTTCCGACAACAGTCATGTGCGTGTACTCGGCGCTGTTCATGCGCTTCGCCTGGCGCGTGCAGCCCCGCAACTACCTCCTCTTCTCCTGCCACTCCGCCAATGAGACCGTCCAACTCATTCAGCTCTCGCGATGGGCCCTCTCAGAGTGAGTTTGCCTCTTGCTGTCATTGTCAAGGGTCCCTCCGCAACTGCTAACAGTGACCTCTTGCATATTTCTTCTGGTGCGTGAAAGTCAGTCTGCCTCTCTTCCCAGAATTTCCTTTGTGGTACACAATGCTACTTCTAGCCATCCCGTCTCTGAAATAGATGGCAGCAGGTCTGATAGCTTGAGATTTGTTGTCCGATCTGCGTGACATGCGAGGCAGGCAATGGTGAATGACGTCTGAGCCAGTCCCCTGTTTTCACATGTAGAATTCCGTTTCAATTTCTGTGCCTCTTGTGTGCGACCATTGTGTTACTGTGTTGATACAGACCCGTAGCTGAGAAGCCAGCAGAGCCTGCTCCGGCTGTTGTGGAGAAGGCAGCAGAGTGATGCCCAGAAAAGACAAACATTTCCCTCCATACTGTTCTATAGTATAAGAATTACCCTCAGCTATGGGAGCAGTTTCATGATCAAACTGCTGTCCATTCTTCCATTGATCTGTATGTTCAGTTTCCATACGAGAAATTAGATTTAAACAAAACACTCGTAAGCATGGATGGTACAGTGCACGCAACACAAAATTAACTGTATTTTAAGCAGTATCAGCAGATAATAAATCAAGACACTGATAAGGTAGATCCTATCAGCTATTTGCATCCAACTCTAGTGTATGTGTTCCTGTACAGTGGCTTGCTCTTATCATACCTAGCATCCTCTCCTCGACCACCATTTGATGATGCGCATCATCTCACTCCCTGGAAACCTGCCCAGGCTCCCCTTGGCTGCCGCCGATTCACTGAATCTGGACACGCCATCCCCTGCCACTGAACCAGCTACCCCTAACACCGTCTCCGCTCCCTCTTCCGCCCCTCCTTCCCCTTTTCCCTCCCCCTCTCCACCGTTTGCCCCAGTAACACCCTCTGCAGCAACAGTGGCAGCAGTGGGGATGGGGAAGGGGCTCAGATCAGTACCCAACACAGCAGCCTCCCCACCCGGCACTGCGTGAATGAAGTCAGAAAGGTCACAGATGGCCAGGGGCACTGGCTCCTCCGTGTGGTCGCCGTATAGAATGGGCGTCGAGTGATCGCCCGTCACACACAGGCAGAACCTTAGCCGCTGCCGCTGCTGCTGCTGCTGCTGCTGCTGCTTCTCGTGCTCCTCCTGGTTACCCCCCTGCTGCTGCGGCTCTTCCTGCTCCCCTTCTCTCTGCACCAGCCACAAACGGTGCGCCAGCTGGCCCACCATGCGATCAACGGCCTCCAGCGCTCGCACTTTAAGATCAACGGCCTTGTCGTGTCCGGCATCGTCCACTGCTTTGATGTGCAGAAACGCAAACTCGTACCCCTCGGGGCACCCTTCTCTCGGATCATCTTCCCCAGGAACCGAAATCAACGGTGCAGATCGACCGATTGGGCCGACTGGATTGATCTGACCGTTCTGGTCGGTTCGGTCGGTTGGTTCGGACTTGGTTGCAGGAAGAGGGGGAGGCATGGTGGAGAGGGCGGCAGCTATGGCTTCGGCTTTGGAGGCGAGGCAGGTTCGGTAGTCGCCCGTGGCTGCAGGTACGTGCAGGATGTCGATTCCAAGGCTGAGTCCCAGGCCTGCGATGATCTTGGTTGGGGCCACCATGCATGCCTGCATGCCGTGCCTCTCTCTGAATGAGGGGACCTGGAGGTGCGAGTGGGGGTGGCAGTGGGGTTGGGAGTGGGGGTGGGAGTGGAGGTGGGAGCGGGGGTCGAAGAGGGGCAGAACGAGCAGCAAGAATTGAACTCTGATGCTTGGGAGGCAAAACGTTCCGGGCCCACAATGATGTTGCGACTTTTGAGACGTCTCAAAACCCAACCCCAACCAAGGTTTGTGGGCTTGCCATGATGTTGGTTGGGGCCACTATGCACGCTCGCATGCAGTGCCTCTATTTCAATGTCTGTACCTGGTGTTGGATGGGTGTGAAAGAGACGGCACCAAGGCAATGCGAGGCATTGTAGGTGGTGGCATGTGCTTGCCATCTGTTTGCCATGCTTTGAACAGTGTGCTTCCCTGTGAGTGAGTGAATCTGGATTCTGGATAGGGGTATGAATGAAGATGCCTAAAACCACACAAGTTACCGCCACCGCTTCCTTCTGTTCTCCCTCCAGTCAATCCCTCACCTCCCGCCCCCACCTCTCTCAATCCCTCACCTCCCACCCCCACCTCTCTCAATCCCTCAACTCCTGCCCTGTTCACCTCCTTCCTTACCTCAAACCCTCACCTCCCACCCCCTCACCTCAATCCTGGTGCCACAGCCCCTCAATCCTTGCCTTTGCTCATGTTTCCCACTCTCAAGTCTTCTGCTTATCTCTCTCACCTCAGTCCCTCCAATTCCACCCCCTCACCTCAATCCTGATGCCGCAGCCCCTCAGTGCTTTCATTTCGCCCATCTGTTTCACTCTCATGTCAACCGCTCCCTCCCTCACCTCACCTCGACCCCTCCCCTCCCACCCTCTCACCTCAGTCCCTCCAATTCCACCCCCTCACCTCAATCCTGATGCCACAGCCCCTCAGAAGAACCACGTTCGCCACATTCTTTCCCTGCGCTGCCCGTTGCACATTGATTGGATGATTTTTCAGTTCTGCCCGGATTGCGTCGCTCAGAGCATTGACCACACGAGCCGTCAGATCTGCCTCCGGGCTGTCGTCCAATGGCGTCGCGACACCTAGCGCCCGCCCGTCCTTCAGAGGATCGGTGCCGCTGATCCTGTCCGACAGGCCCGGGCCCCGAACCACCACGCCGCACCTGTGCTCAGTGGCATATCTGAGGTGGGTTTGAAAGAAAGAGGGTGGGTGGGGTTTTGGGGGGAGGCGGGGGGGGGGTTGGGTTTGGAGGGGAAGGAGAACATGGATAAATAAATAAATAAATAAATAAATAAATAAATAAATAAATAAATAAATAAATAAATAAATAAATAAATAAATAAATAAATAAATAAATAAATAAATAAATAAATAAATAAATAAATAAATAAATAAATAAATAAATAAATAAATGAACAAACAAAGAAAAATATCCGGGAATAAAACGAGCGGAGGAAACAAACAAACAACAATTTAATACGTCACGTCATTAATTGAACAAGGCCAGAAACTAGGAAGCCAAGGGTGGGGCCTCACATACTTGATGCTGACATGGTAATCCGGGAATCCAGGGATCTTGAGGTTGTCCAGGTGGCGGCACAGGATTGGCCCTTCCTCCTCAAAGTGCCGATCCGCCCGGCGCTTCACCACAATCCCTGTTGCCTCGTCCAACACTGCGAAGTTGCTCTGTGCGGGTGAAAAGAGAAGGATGAGTGTAGGTGGGTAGTACGAGGAGGGAAGGAGTGGCAAGCCCTGCGCTTCACCACAATCACAACTCCCGTTGCCTCGTCCAACACTGCCAAGTTGCTCTGTGCGGGTGAGGAGAGAGTAGAAGAGCGGGAGCAGGGGGGCAGTGGAGGAGGGAAGGAGTGGCAAGCCCTGCGCTTCACCACAATCACAACTCCCGTTGCCTCGTCCAACACTGCCAAGTTGCTCTGTGCGGGTGAGGAGAGAGTAGAAGAGCGGGAGCAGGGGGGCAGTGGAGGAGGGAAGGAGTGGCAAGCCCTGCGCTTCACCACGATTTTTGTTGCCTACTTGAACCCTGCGAAGTGTTTTGAGACGTCTCAAAACACTTCTTTGAACACTGCCAAGTTGCTCTCTACCTCTGCGTATTCATACCGGTACCTCTACATCTACCAGGGTAAAGCCGAGAGAAGAGATTAGGCAGGTAGAGTTAGAGAGAAGAATACAAAGGACCGTTTCAGGGAAGATTAAGCGGGTCATAACTTGCCCAGTTGCTCACCACCCACCCACCCACTCTCACTCACTCACTCACTCACTCACTCACCCACTCACTCACTCACCCACCCACTCGCTCACCCACTCACCCACTCACCCACTCACCCACTCACCCACCCACCCACCCACCCACTCACCCACCCACCCACTCACTCACCCACCCACCTACCCACCCACTCACCAATCCAGTAACGCCCCCAGTCTAGCACATCACCCACGTTGAATGCGATGTCCCCAGGCAGCATGGAAACCCCGGCTCCCATGGATTCGTTTGAAGCATACTTGCTACAAGCGAACTCACCATGGGCATGACTCACGTTTAAAAGCACCTCTCACCTTGAACGCTATGTCCCCAGGCTGCATGGGGATTCCGGCGCCCATGGACTCGTTGGGATGGACTCGTTGGGATGGACTCGTTGGGATGGACTCGTTGGGATGGACTCGTTGGGATGGACTCGTTGGGATGGACTCACTGGGGCACATCAGACAACCAGCATACCTGATTGTGGCAGATTACCCACCTTGAACGCTATGTCCCCAGGCTGCATGGGGATTCCGGCGCCCATAGACTCAAAGGCTCCTCGCCCCCTGTAGTGCTGGCGGGGATTGTATCCCAGCAGAGAGAGGTGCGCCGTGTCACTGCAAGGAAGGGGGGGATGGGGGGAAGCACTGGGCGGTAAGGTTGGTTCAGCCTCCCCGTCCCCTGTAGTGGTGGCGGGGATTGTACCCCAGCAGAGAGAGATGCGCCGTGCCACTGCAAAGGGCGAGGGCAGATGGGGGGGAGCATGGCGGGTGCGTGCATGCAGGGCAGTGTGGGGTGTCAGGTGGGAGGAGTACGGGGCAGTAAGGAAGGCTACAGCCCCCTAGCCCTCTGCAATGCTGGCAGGGAACCCATCCCCTGCAAACAGGAGAGGGGAGTGTGGTGAGGCGAAACAGGAGAGGGGAGTGTGGTGAGGCGAAACAGGAGAGGGGAGTGTGGTGAGGCGAAACAGGAGAGGGGAGTGTGGTGAGGCGAAACAGGAGAGGGGAGTGTGGTGAGGCGAAACAGGGGTGGCATTAAGGGATGCTGCAAGGAACCCGTCCCCTGTAGTGCCGGCGGGGGTTGTATCCCAGCAAGGAGATATGCGCCGTGTTGCTGCGCTCAAAGGGGGAAGGGGAGAGAGGAGAGTCAGACAGGTGTCCAAGGGGGTTTCAGCAGGTTAATGAGAGGAGTACTGAGCGGTAAGGCATGGTACAGCCCCCCGCACCCTGTAGTGCTGGCGGGGTTTGTACCCCAGCAGAGAGAGATGCGCCGTGTCCCTGCACTCAAAGGGAGAGGGACGGGAGTCAGGTGCGGGAAAGGGGGGTCGGGTGGGGATAGGCGGGAGGACGATGACGAGAGGGGGGATTCCGGTGGGGAGAGGGGGGATTCCGGTGGGGAGAGGGGGGATTCCGGTGGGGAGAGGGGGGATTCCGGTGGGGAGAGGGGGGATTCCGGTGGGGAGAGGGGGGATTCCGATGGGGAGAGGACGGGGCGGAAAGGGATGCGAAACGGGCTTCTG